AATGTATTCTTACAGCTTCTGTCTGCACACCTCCGATTTCCGTATTCACTTGTTCCATTTATTTGTTCACCAAGGACGCCTGGAATATCCATGACCTAAATACAACCAGTATTTGATTTTTTTTCCTACATGCTGTCAACTTGGTTATTCGACAAATGACAGGCAGTGACGTAGGATATATATTTCATTAACACCATTATTGTCGGATCATAATCGATTTAAAAACTGACACTAAATATGGTATCAGGCGCTCAGAACCGTACCTTTACATCAAGAAGCGAGTTATAAGAAATCAAACGGTTCACATTAGGTAGTGAAAAAGATATTGAATATTGGGCAAATTTGACCTTAAAGGGCAGTTACTGAAAAGACATACTTAAGGGGCTAAGTTCGAATTCCCGCACTAGCCTGGTGATCGAAGTACAGTAAGTGTCTATGCTATCTGCTCCTAGTTTCGGTCTCAAGGTTGCTTTAATAGGGAGCTGTGGCTATTAAAAATTGTTGTTTCTCTGTTTTAATAATTGTAAGTCCATCGTGTGGACTTGCTGTGTGGTCGATTCACCTTTCGTATTTGGGACTCATATTTGTGTAGTAAGGACAAAAAGCCTATGTTATCCCTTTCCTAGTATGATTATGTGGGTGTCTAGTTTTCTCTTGAATGAGTCAATTGAAGGTGTGGACACCACTGGTTCAGGTAACAGGTTCTACGAATTGATCCAAATTGGGTCCGAAATCATTACCCAGTATTCTGTACATTAAAATTAAGTCTCCCCTTAGTCTGCGATAGGACAGGGTACAGACGTCTAGCTTTTCAAGCTACTGGTTGTATGTTAAACCCTGGAGTACTGAAATTGCACGGGTGGCTGCCCTCTACTTTTTCCAAGATATCCGAGTCACCCTTTAAACAGGGGCTTGCAATTATATATATTATATACATTATATATTATATACATTATTATTATTATATACATTGTAAAAAGTATGATCCGACAATAATGGTGTTAATGAAATATATATCCTACGTCACTGCCTGTCATTTGTCGAATAACCAAGTTGACAGCATGTAGGAAAAAAAATCAAATACTGGTTGTATTTAGGTCATGGATATTCCAGGCGTCCTTGGTGAACAAATAAATGGAACAAGTGAATACGGAAATCGGAGGTGTGCAGACAGAAGCTGTAAGAATACATTCAGTGAATGAATATATTGATTGAGATTCAGATTCAGATTTGTGTTGTAAGGACAGAAAGCATATGTTATCCTTTTTTAGTATGTTTCTGTAAGTGTCTGGTCTTCTCCTAAACGAGTCAATTGAAGGTGCGGACACCACTGCTTCAGGTAACAGGCTCCACGAACTAATGATTAGGTATGAAAATCTGTATGCCATAGTTATTTTGATTGTTCTTGGCTTTTCTACTCGCCTGTTATGTCCTCTGAGATGTCCCGCCCTCGTGGGAAGGAAAAGAGAGAATAAGTTAGGTCCAAAATCATTTCTCAGTATTTTGTGCATCAAAATTAGGTCTCCCTCAGTCTGCGATAGGACATACTTGGGAGTTCATTTATATACAATGTAAAAAGTATATGACCTAGAACAGAACCTTGAGGTACTCCACTAAGTACTGGTTTCCAGGAGAAGCACCTGGAATTTGTTCTTACTTTCTGTCTACGACTTACCAGGAAATCTTTGATCCATTTTAGGAAAGGTTTGGCAATGACTATATTTTCCAGCTTTAAGCGTAGTCTATTTGTTGGCACCCTATCAAATGCTTTGCTGAAGTCTATGCAAACAACATCTACGAGTTTACCACTTTCCAGGGCGTCTGTCCATTGCTCCCTTATTGTAAGGAAGTTTGTTGTGCAAGATAGACCCTTTCTGAAACCGTGTTGTTCGCTGTTTAACAAGTTGTTGGTTTCCATGAATGTCATTATGGTGTTTTGATTATTCTTTCCAATATTTCAACTACGACATTGGTGGGGCTGACAGGTCTGTACTTTTGTGGGACTTGTCTTGATCCTGCTTTATGTATTGAGGTGACAACCGCCCCACTGAGTGGGGAAGTGATTTGTAGCGGTAAATAAATCTTTGATATCAACTGTTCTGTAAGTCTTCAACATTGGATGATGACCACATTAATTTTAGTGGACTCATCTTGCTGAAGGACATGAATGTAAATATAAAACAATTATAACAAAACCGGGAATGGAGGAACGATTAAGTTTATGATGAGCAATTTACTGTAATTATGCACGTGTTTCTTACAGAGCCGTTGCGTTCCATCGTACTCGCTGTGTCAAGGTTGATGGCAACTTTCCAACATTTCTTCCTTTGTCTTAGTAAATGTCGAATGTCCTGGTCTATCCAGGGATGGCCGTGCTTCTTATTTGGAACTGTCCAGGGTATAAATGTTTGAGTTGCTTGATTTTGTAACTTCCTGAAGTATGTCTATGCTTCTCTTATTTCTTTTTCTTTTCCATCCCTCATTCAATTTCACTTTTGAAGGGACAGTTAGCTATATGGCATATTTTTAGTCTTGGTAGTGGTCTCTCAGTTGGTCCAATTTTGTTTTGACAGCGTTAACAGATGAAACGTCAACCACGTGTTGAAGTAATGAATTGCACTCATTCATGATTCGGTTGGAAAGTTGATGGTTATCTGACATGTAATTTGTTCTAGTCTTGTGAACTTTTTTAATATTCTCGTAAATTCTCTGTTTTGGAAGTCCAAAAAAATGAGAGCATATCATATGCAGATTTATCACTAAGTAATTTGAAGACTGTAACCTAGTCACCTCTGTTTCTACGGTATGAAAATGGTAATAGGTTTAGTTTAGCCAGCCGAATATCACACGGGAGCTTCACTATTCCGGGAATCAGCTACATTACTGTATTCTGAACCTTTTCCAAAAGCTCACTGTCTTTCTTTAGGCAGGGGCTAGCCGCTTGTATGCAGTACTCAGGTTTAAAACGCACGAATACAAAGTGTACAAAGTCAAGAAAGTTTTAGTGTCGTCATGACCAAGGCCATACGTATTGACCATACGGTTGTAAAACCTTCAACGGCTATTTCACGTCAGTGCGCAGTAGTTTTTAAGTCTTGGCTAATGATGACTGCTAAGTACAGTTTCCCAGCTAGACAACGTTGACTTCACCTGTACTCTTTATTGGCGCCCAGCTGTGAAGTCTTTTATCCACACTAATAGGTTGCCTCCAACCCCGACATCTCTGAACTTACATAACAGCCAATTGTGCGGAACTTTGTCAAAAGCCTTGCTGACATCAATGTAGGGTACGTCTATAGGTAACTTTTTGTCTCTAATAGCGCACCAGCTTTCACGAGCCATTAACTAGTTAGTAAGACAGGAATAATCTATTCACTCTTCTACATGCACCTCTAGTACACAAAGTACCTTCTGGCTAAACGTGATTCGCCACAGTACAGTAACGGATTCAATGTCCTATCCTGTTGACTTCGTTTCCATTTCCGATTGTCTTGACTTTACGCTTGTGGCCAGTTGCTGTGGGTCACTTTCACTACTAGATGTGCCGGCTCACCTATCCTTTCTCCTAAATTTCCCTGTTAGGATTTTAGATTGCAGTACTTATGTTGTTCCTCAGTGATCACGATCGAAGTTTCTGTACACATTATTTTCTCTATGTCACAGTATTATCTGGGCTTAATATGTTCACTGGCACTTGTTTGCCTGAGAAATGTGCTAACCGTTCAACCCGTTGATATAGGTCGTCCAATATATCCACGTATTTCTTGTTACATTAGACAGTTTGGGTTTTTTGTTTTCTATTATAACAACCAGAATAACACGTAGTGGTAGGGACTACCGGTAAATGTGAATTAAATGTTTGAAACGGCCTAGATATTGAAAGTTTGATACTACACTAGTCGATTTGCTACCTTTACCTCGCTTTTTCCCTAAAACCATTGTTACTTCATTAGGGGTCCCAACATACGTGGATAATTCTTCGAAGCACATGTGATCGAAAATCGGTAAGGTGCGTGATGTTTCTGTTTGGAAGAGTTGTATATCAAGTCTTAAAATTAGTGCAGAGCAAATTACTGTGCAAGATCTCCATTAAATCTTCGTAACAGATAATTCAGATCATTGCGTCGGGGTAGCAGATATGACTGAGTGTATTTTCGCGTTATTAGAAAGCTTAGCGGACTGCGCTTTATAAGTTGTTCTACTTGCCTCTGTCCTTTAGAAAGTGAGGACATTGCGTGTCTCTTTTGAACCAGACAGTTATAAATCTACTAACCTATGAAAGCTAAGTGGAAACGACAGAAACTAAGAAAACTATTACAAGTGATTATTTTTAATTTGATAGATTTACTAGGTGTATATTATCCCGTGGTCCGTTTCAATTTTATTTTCATTTCTCGTAAATTCACCTACACAGCTGTTTAACAATAATATTACGTTGAGATAACAAATTAGTCATGTTTATTTAGACGTAATCGTTCACCAAGAAGAAGGGATAATGATTAATTTGATAGCAACTATATAAGGTAATTTATTCTCGAATCATAAGCAATCTTTTCTCTAAGGAAATACTCAATGGGAAGTATTAGATATGTCTGATTAGAATACATGGATCTGTATAGTCTAACCGGGGATAATGTCGCATTATCTATGTTGTATTAAAGGACGTATAGATTCAGTTTTCGAAGTTAATACGGTATAATATCGTTTTTATGCAATATATTCTCGAGTTGCTATTATCTAAATTGGTTTATTATTTCTCCATGTAAAGAGATCGGTAATTTTCAAAATTCTCGCTTCAGATGACCGTTTTTCATCTTAAAGCAGACTATTGTTTTCGTACATTACATGCATAGATTATTAGTATTGTTTCAGAGTACATATAAAGTTTACTAACCCTTTCTAAACATCATTAAGGAATTACTTCCTAAAATAAACCTGTGACTTCGCAACCATCAATAAATATATGCTCACTTTTCGTCTCTTTCGTTTTAGATTCTTTAATGACTCTAGAAGAATCTCGAAACTTACATCAGTCACTGCCATCAGCAAATTTTAGTGGCAGTTACTTGACCAACGCCAATCAGATTAACAGTTCACATCATTATCAAAACAGTCAAAATCCTACGAATTATCCTCCATTATTCCATCCTGCAGCTGTAGCAGCTGTTGCTGCTGCAGCTGCAGCGGCTGGATACACACAACAGTTCAATCCAGGTGTTGTAAGTATAACCTTTTATAAATTGTTGCATTCTAGTTTGATTAGTGAAGAAATTATAGAGTATTATTGTTTTTGAAGTCATCTAAGAAGTCTAAGGATTGATGGTTACCAGAGTGATGCAACAAAATCGTAGGGCAGGACGAAAATGTTTTCACTTGATTTCGTGTAACTTGGTTTGTATATGGCAATTTCTACTATGTGCAGTGCCCGATAGGAGATCCAAATAACTAGTCCATATGAATTAAAACGAAGCCCCTAACACTGAATGTTCTATGGCCCTTCAAATGTCATGTGACGAAATCGCCATTCTGAATATCAAATTATGTGACCTTGTCCCTGCGCTAAACCAATGTTGTGTGAACCAGTACGAACAACCTAGAGTCAACTCTGAGTCTTTATTGGTCTTCTGTATAGTGAATTTTTGCCTAACCTAGCCAATTCAGTCTGGAACACAAGCTCAGTCCCCGTTGGATGAATCATATATATATATATAAGAAGACTAGACCACACACCATAAAATGAGAAATAATAATTATTCAATATCAAGCCAAAAGTGGCTATGAGTATGGGATACTGTAGCTGATAAATTGGGAATAATTTAAGAATGGTAGATCATGTTACAGTATTCAATAGGTCAAATGAAAGCTTATAATGAAATGAATTCGAATATATCTATAATCTAGTTACTTAATAATCATCCAATAAGAATATGTGTGACATTAGCCCATGATTAATTCCTAGCAGTTACCATTCATTCACCCTTCGTTCGGATATAACACTCAGCTACGAAAAGTAATTATTTAGCTCATTTACACTATACACGTTTATGAACTCAACTCTAGGTTGATTTTTCTATTTTGATATATGTTAGTATTACTTGGTTATCTAGGTTTAAAAGATGGAGTAGGTTTTTAATTTACAATATGTTCGTTAAAAACCTAGTTCCCATAACCAGTGAGCCACATGAAACGGCTGTATAAAAGTAGTATGATGTTTTATTGATAGAAAATATACTAAACTAAATTTTACTGTAATCTAACAAAAATATTATGTTTTTAGTAACTGGTTTGATTTGAATTTTTTTCATCGTAATGATATAATCGGAACAGTAAGTCAGTCACAATGTAGAACTTGTACGTATGTGTATCGGTTAGTTTCACTGGTAAAGGCGAGTATGACATAAAGCTGAATTTCCTTGACGTTACACTAAGCAGGCGAAGTGATGGCTCGTTAAGTAGAGGTGTGTATAGAAAAAGACCCTCTGCCCGCCAATATACTCACTTCTATACCCCATTAACACAGAGACGAATTTGTCAGGGCAAATCTCACAATAGTAGAGGTAGTAACAGTATCAGTGGTAATAGAAAAGACTAGGCATCAAAGATACGACTCAAACAGAAAATATGAACTAGCAAAATATAAACAAAATTAAGTTATGAGGAATGTAGAGTTTCAGGATATGGGGTAAGACAAAGCAGAAATGCACCTGTGCCATTCCAAACGATTTTGAGCCGTGTCATTCAAAGTCTAATCATTGGTTACGATAATCACTGGGACCACAATCAGGTAATCTATACCTATTAACATGGTTAAGTTCAATTGTCAGTGGCTTCATGTACTGATGCCATGTTTTGGTTTGGTCGCTCCTAGCTTTCTTCCACAGTTTGCTGCTGCATCAGAAAACATCACCCGTCGAGGTAGGGGGTGGTTGGGCATACATAACACATGTCCCAACCACCTCAGTTGATGAAGGTTTACTACCTCATCAATAAGTTTTTCATTTTTATCTGGTACTGTATTCCTAACCCAGAGATTGCTTATTCCGTGGTTGCAAACTACACGGACAATGCTTTGTAGACACGTATAATCAAATGTCAGTGAACTACAAATATCCTCTACTCTTAATGACAATGTTTCACATCCACAAAGTATAACGGAGCAAACTGCTGCACAGTAAACCCGTTCTTTGATTAGAAGACGGATATTTTCGCCTACACCTCCATCCGTGCCGAGATTTCTTCAGACACCAGACCATCAGTGCTGATGAGACTCGCAAGAAAAGTGGGGCAGTCAATGCGTTCAACTACTTCACTACCTATCACTTATCCGGGTGATGACTCATGCCAATCCTTATGTAACATTTTACATTTGTAGGGAGAGAACCGCATCCAAACGTCCAGACTACTAAGCCAGTATCCAACGGTGCTAGCATCTAACTCCAATCAATTCACAATACTGCGTTACCGTCTTTCATTGGCTGAAGTGGCTACTGTGTTACATCCAGCGTGGTTAAACTCCACTGGTCACACCTCACTTGGACTCAAGAAAACGCATTTATAAGTTAGTCACCAATGAGAACATGATTCTTATCAACATAGGTTTTTTTGTAGATAGTACTCTCATAGAAACAGAAATTTTACTTTTCCTACAACTACTAGTGTACCTGTTTTCTTCCTCAGTTTTTACTTTTGCGTGATACGTGTAGTTATACAGTCTATTTCAACTTGATCATTGGAGTGGATCTTGATGTAGATCTAACGGAAAATAATATTATCCGCTGATGTGTTACGCTAACTTTACGATGAGAATTTTTATTTATATGAGCTGAGGAACTATCAAACACCAAATAACCCAAATAGCTGTTTATTTATTTGTACACCGACAGCTATGTACTTTATCAAAACTAGAAAACTCAAGTGTCGAGATCAGTACAATACTACTCATTTAATGAATCATAATTCAGTGATTCATATCTTCTAATTACGATCAATTTAAAATATAGCGCAATCATCGTTCAATCTCATTGATTGGTACCTCCGATAGATCTCTAGCTGTAAAGAATGATTTGGAGTTGTTGTTGCTTCATTGTACTTTATTTCTTTAATAATTGTTAACTTTGCAGAATTCATTCTAAAATCATCCTAAAACCAGTTACTTGAAAAATCCAGAATAATTTATTATTGGTTTTGAAGAAACACTAGTATTTACAGGCTTATATTCGTCAAAGAAGCATTTTTGTAACATGTTGTAATATTTTCATGTTGATCATTAGCATACAATTGTACTTTGTTGGAGACCTAGAATATCCCTCAAAAAAAAACCCGGAGGGGCCCTGAAAGCGCTGGGAAACATTTTATCCAGTTAGCGTTGAACATCTAAAAAGTGGGGAGACACATGACACATTTCTGATTGTACGACTACCTATCCTGCTACTGTGTTTAGTGGGATTTCAGAACTCTCGAGAAGCCCAAGGTCATCTGAAATGCAATATATACCCTGAATTTTATGTACATGAACTAACCTTGTAGTAAAGCGTTTTTTCCTCATTTCGCGCATTTTTTTCGTGTTCAAGTTGTCGTGTAAAATCAGCCTGTGGTTACTAAATGAGATTAAGAAGGCTATTTAAGCACTCAGATTGAAGATTTATTTTTCTTCATTATCCCGGTTCGTTAAATAAATAATCCTTCACTTTAAATCCTACTTTAAAGTGATGTTCGGGCTTACTTGTCCTGATTGTCCAGTCAAGCTATATCTCCCGAAGCACTCGTTGATGTTATCCTGTAGCCATGTAGCCCTTCTAGGGATTTTGTCGGTTCCGAGCCCGGCTAAAGGAGAAGGGTTGAGCATGAAGTCAGCAACGGCATCACATTGAAAACAACTCTGCTAAATGTACACTTACCACAAAAACACTTCAAACCATTTGTACTGTGCCCTGGGAGTTGAAGGATCTTCATTTTGTGGAATTATGACTCATCATGGTAAAAACTGAGACTCTTTGGATGTCACGAGTCTGATGCCTCTTCTAACAACCAGAGCAAAAATTAGTCTAGATACACAAGGCTACATGGGTCTCACCCGACGACATCACGGAGAACCAGATTGATCATATTTGAATTACTCGAAAATTCAGAAGGTCAATGAAAGACGTGAGAACCGAGAGAGGAACTGACAGCTTCAGATGACCACCTGGTGGTTCCCAAGATGAAACTGAAGCTTAAGAAGCACTGAACAACTGATCAGCATTACAAAGGTTTAATACCACTCTCCTTCGAGATGCTGACAAACTCCACGAATTCAAGACAGCTCTCAGTGACAGGTTCCAAGGGTATTTTGAAGATATTTAAAGTTAGCTACAATAATTTTCATGTCCATGGTGAGGTTATACTTTCGACGGTTTAAGGATGATCTTTCCCAACCATATTCTCTTGTAGACTTAAGAAGGGTTTTGAGACGATCAACGTTGTCCTACATATTTCTAGTGTCCTCAATTTAGTTTAAATGTGTGTGGTTTAAATATACAAAGTAATCAAGTTATACTTTTGGTTCTACTGTCAATTACCAGATTTATACAACCTTAAGCTCTAATCACATTTAATTTTTACCTCTAATCAGAAATAATGTGTTTTGCGATTAATATTAGCTGTTTTGAAAACCATCCGTGTGATTGACGAGCTAAATCGTTTGTACTACATAATTCGTTCTGTCTTATTTACAGATAAGTCGTCCACTCAACTTGACAGCTAATCCTAATGGTCCCAATCCATATTTCTCTTCTGCAGACACAAGCAGAGCTTATTATGCTAGCTTTGCATTACAACAGTCTGGATTTTATCCTGGATCCCATGCTTTCAATAATTTGGGAGGCATGAATATACCTCAGGATTTTTCATTTCCGAATCCCACTACCTCCATTCCTCTATCCAGCACTGGAGTGGAATTCCCTTCATGTCTATCAACTAGTACGACGGAGACTGAAAATGGTTCAAAGTTACAACGAGTTTCTGGCTCTACTAAGAATTCCAAAACTTCCGCTAGTAGTGTAAAAACACATGCGAAATCGTCAGGTGTTCGCGGCAGGAAATCGATTTCGTCCGATGAGATGGCAAATCGCAAACGCCAGGAATTTAATGAACTTGTTAAAGCCCGCACTGAGAAGCTTATGTCCGATGGTCCCATTGCAAATGCAAGTATTTTATTTTTGCTCCACATTAATAATTTCTGATTAATAACGCTTTCTTGCACCACAATGTTCTGTGTCCTTATAATTACTTTTACACTTACTCCACACTTTCGAATTTCGCTGATATAAAGTGTTGCCTTGCTGGCATGAATTATACGTCAGCTCAGTCATTCTCTTGTTTGAAAGTTCACTATCATGCTAAGCAACCCCATTTTCAGATCCCTATTAAAATTATTATTCGTTCACATATATGGTGATTGTCTTTACGGGAATAATACAACGACTTTTACTTGTTATGTTTCAGTAATTCATTATGAATGGTGCACGGGTAACATTCTGACTTTTAAATCAAGTGTACCTGAGTGATAGATAATTCCCGTGACCGAAATATTGATGTAGCACTTCAATAAGCTGATATCAGAAACCAAAACGAATTGCCCACCCAAAGAGTTATTTTCAATAAAATAATACGTTCATGTACTAAGTATTGGCAGAAAAATAAGTATAATTCAATACTATTGGCGAGTAGAGTAAATGTTTTTAACTCTCCAACGAATTAAGATGTTCCATATCATATCAGTACTCTTCAGAAATACAACTTACTCTTACATCTTTTGAACTTCTCTGCAAACCAGGTTTTCATCATGGCTGGTATGATGTTGGTTTATTAAACATTGTATTATGATTGGAAGCAATCCGTAAAGTAAATTCTCTTAGTATTACTTGTTTGAATCTTCCCATTGATGTTTAGGACTGCAACTGGTCAGTCTCTTATTGGCATATGTGCATACTGTGCGTATTGCCTCGATCAGGACTCAGTGACTGAGTGGATAATGCGATGGTGTTTGAAGCGAAAGGTACTGGGTCCGAGTTCCAGCGTGAACATCAACTCTGAGATGCAGGTACATCCAACTGACGAGTCCCAAATAGTCCATATATTATTTTGACAACGCTTTCAGAATGTTTTAGAAATTCTGTATCGTTCCCAACTTCATTGACGTTTGTTATGGGTATGCTACGCTAAAACCGATACCATGCAAATAATATAGTCATATTAAGCAGAAATTTCTTCTGTACGGTCTACATAGTAATCCGGAAATATTTGGGGAATATCTTACACATCTAAACTCAGAATATTCCTTTGCAACTTGTTTATCTTAGTGGTTAGGTCGATAGTTGCCAATAAAGTTGACAATGTGCGTAGTTGACCTCACTTGTATGATGGCGTCTATGCAGCCTTGGCTATTTTATAGTTGGTGAAATCTTGTTACCGATTTCATTTTCATCAAGTTGATTCATCTTTCCCACAAGGGGAATATACGTTTGCTTGTAAAAAAAACAAGTGTACTATTCAGTGTTTCGACCTGTACTGTATTACTAGTGTAGGGCGTCTTCTTGGAAGGTAAACTATGTTTGCATTACAAGAATCTGGTCAAAATTATCGTGAAAGCACTACCCGGACACGGTGGAACCACTGAAGTAGTTCCGAAGTTAAGCATACAATTCTAGTAGGGTTTCCGAACTTTATCTGCTGGGTTTGTTGAGCTTTGTGTTACTTATATCCTCCCAGTCGTGCACAAAATCCCTGCTTGACCAGAATTTAAAGTGTAAAAATGCTAAGGCAGTGACTTCATTTACTGAGTAATTTCTTACGTTATTAGCTTGAATGATGCTCAAGTACTACCTGTATTCAGCCTGACAGGAATCACAACTTTTACAACAGAAGTTGTAATATTACCTCAGTTTGGTAGAAAAAAAATTATTTTTTTCGTATAGAGTGTCATTCTAAACTGCAAATCACTTTTTTTTCACTGTTTATAATATTTTCTGGCTAACTAAATATCACATATGATTATGGTAATGAGATGAAATATATGATGGTAGAAAACATTTCATGTGGTGTTTACTAAAGTTTTTTCAACTTTGTTTACAGTCATCAACCAATTCCGGTCCTTTATCATCTTCAAGTTCAGCTGGTTCTACAGGACCGGAATCTGGATCACCGAACTATCGTAAATTAATTCATGCTGTCTTAGATGCTAAAAAATCAGCTCTTCTTAGATCTCCATCTGTTATTCATTTTCTAGTTAGTCAACAGCGTTCCCTAACTGAATATAAACGTCAAACAGAATTATTTTGCGTTACAATGAATAGATGAAAAGAAAAAAACTACGTCAAGTTTTTTTTAAAAAAAACTTCTTATTTTTATACTTTTTTATGTTGATGTTTTTTCACTATTCGTTTATATATATACATATTAATTGCATCAGTTAATTATTTTCATTGAAGATTTTTGGTGGTTCATTTATGCAGGCATGTTCTGGATGCGATTCTCTCCCTCGAAGTGCAAAATGTTACTTCAGGATTGGGTTGCATGGACACCTGAACTAATGATAGGGAGTGAAGTAGTTGAGCGTGTCGACCGCTTCACTTATCTTGGGAGTCTCATCAGCCCTTGTGGTCTGGTATGCGACGAAATCTCAGCACGGATACAGAAGGCTCGTCTAGCTTTCGCCAACTTTCGTCATTTATGGCGTAGGTGAGATATCCATCTAGCAACCAAAGGACAGGTTTACTGTGCAGCAGTTCGCTCCGTCCTACTTTATGGAAGTGAAACATGGCCGATAAGAGTAGAGGATATTCGTAGGCTACTAGTATTCGATCATAGGTGTCTTCGAAGTATTGCTTGTATATCCTGGGACCACTGGGTAAGTAATACAGTTGTTCAGTCAGTCAGCTACAACGTAGGACCAGGCACATATATGCATCGGTCCAAGTTGCCATGCAGTTGTTAGGATACGGGTACTAGGTAAGGATGGAAAATCTATTGATGAAGTAGTGAAACTTCATCAGTTGAGATGGCTGCGACACGTGTTACGTATGCCCAACCACCGACTGCCCCGACGCGCAATGTTTTATGGTGTAGGAGTAGGTTGGAAGAAAGCTAGGGTTGGCCAGACCAAAACATGGCATAAATCCATGAAGTTGCTGACAAGTGAATTGAGCCATGTTGGTAGGTGTAGACTTTATTATTATTTAAACACATAAATATTGGTACAAGAAAGCACCAGATACATATGCGCCATACAAATCTCATTCGATTTGCTTGAGGGCTGTGATACTGCCCAGGTGCCCAAACTGAAGCAGGTGGTTTTCTTAGGGGCCCACACCCGGAGCCTTTGACCGAAAGATCTGATCCACAAGGCAGTGAAGCATCGTGCGGAGATGCAGTCCCATGGTAGCCGGTAATCAACGATTGATTCGTACGCCATTTGTTCCCTCAGGATACTGGAGCCCATGTGCACCTTTGGTTTGGAATCAGGGTTTTCCAACTCCCCTAGGTGGACTCGCCTTGTCCACCAACCCGGTTAAAGCGCCAGACATTCGCTTTTCGTCCTCTCACTTTCGTAAACAGCACCGGTGCCACGAGAAGGCAGTGAGTAGGACTTCCCTGGCAGAGGCTATATATTCGCGTGGCCATGTGAGAGCATTTTGAGAGGGAGAGCGGACTCTCCCCACTCTCGACCGTACCAGGGCATTTGGGGGCAGGTGTAGACTACCTGGTTGTGATGCGCGAGATGATATCAACCGATGGATAGAGACCTTGAATGACATGGCTCAAAATCGTTTGCAATGACGTAGGTGCATCCACTCTTTGTGTTCTGCCAAATTCTGATCTGAAATTTTCATGTCTCTATCTTTTTTCTCGTTCCAAATTTATTTCACTGAATTATATTCCTTCAATAACATCTTCAAATCCTAATCTTTCACATTACTGCTTATACTTTTACTACTACCACTGGGATTTGAATCGACAACTTCATCTCTGTGCTAATGTGGCATGGCAACTGGAACAGATGTACATACGTACGTACGAAGTTCTACGTTGTGACTGACTGACGTCTATGAATCCGGTGTTCATGTTGTTGTGCTAACGAGGTGATGGCAACTTGGACTGATGTATATATGTGACTGGTCCTACGTTGTAGCTGACTGACTGAGAAATTTCTTACATGTAGTTCCCTTTATTTATCTTGAAGAGAACAATAATAAAGAACTGAGCCGAATAACATGAATTCATTTTATTTAGCCAGAATTCTCACTAACTTCTTGTAACTTAATTACTTACGTCCGTTACCCCATATGAAGCATAGGCTGCCGACCAGCATTCTCCAACTCACTCTGTCCTGGGCCTTCTTTTCTAGTTCTATCCAGTTCTTGTTCATTGTTCTCACATCTGTCTCTATTTCTCGGCGTAATGTGTTCTTTAGTCTTCCTCTTCTCATTTGACCTTCAGGATTCCATGTGAGGGCTTATCTTGTGACGCAATTAGGTGATTTCCTCAAGGTGTGCCCAATCCACTTCCAGCGCTTCTTCCTGATTTCTTCCTCTGGTGGAATCTGGTTTGTTCTCTCCCACAGTAACTTGTTGCTGATAGTGTCTAGCCATCGGATCCGAAGTATCTTGCGTAGACAGCTGTTAATAAACACTTGTATCTTCTGGATAATGGCTTTCGTAGTTCTCCAAGTCTCCGCCCCATACAGTAGAACTGTCTTGACATTTGTATTGAAAATTCTAACCTTGGTGCTGGTTGACAATTGTTTTGAATTCCAGATGTTTTTCAGTTGTAAGTATGCTGCTCTTGCTTTGCCGATCCTCGCCCTCACATCTGCATCTGATCCACCGTGTTCATCAATGATGCTGCCCAGATATATAAAGGTTTCCACATCCTCCAAAGCTTCTCCGTCAAGTGTAATTAGATTGGTGCATGTTGTATTGTATCGGAGAGTCTTGCTTTTCCCTTCGTTTATATTGAGACCTACTGCTGCTGAGGCTGCTGCTACACTGGTCGTTTTCTCCTGCATTTGTTGTTGCGTTTGTAATAGAAGAGCCAGATCATCCCCGAAGTCTAAATCGTCAAGCTGCATCCTGCCTGTCCACTGTATCCCGTGCATTCCTCCAGATGTTGATGTCTTCATGATCCAGTCGATCACCAGGAGAAAGAGAAAGGGTGAGAGTAAGAAACTTTGCCTAATACCGGTCTTTACCTCGAATGAGTCTGTGAGTTGTCCTCCGTGGATGATTTGGCAGTTTAGTCCATCATAGGAGTTCCGTATGATATTGACTATATTCTCAAGCACGCCATAGTGTCGAAGGAGCCTCCGTAGTGTTGTCCTGTCTACGCTATCATATGCCTTCTCGTAGTCGATGAAGTTGATGTAGATTGATGAATTCCATTCGATCGATTGTTCCACAATGATCCACAGAGTTGCGATTTGGTCTGTACACGATCTATCCTTACGAAATCCGACTTGTTGATCTCGAAGTTGGGCGTCTACGGAATTCTTCATCCTGTTTAACAATACTCGGTTGAAGAATTTTCCTGGTATTGAGAGCAGAGTGATGCATCTGTAGTTATCGCACTTGCTGAGATTGCCTTTCTTTGGTATCTTGATTAGAAGTCCTTTTTTCCAGTCTGTTGGTACATGTTCTTCATCCCAAATCTTACTGAAGAGGATGTGTAGTATCTTGGCAGTTGCTGCTACATTTGATTTCAGTGCCTCTGCCGGGATGTTGTCTGGTCCCGCTGCTTTGCAAACTTGTAACATGTAACTAAAAGTCGTAAGCAGCTGTATTATTATTATTATTTATTCGAATACATATGTATTGGAACAAGGGGGCATCAGATATATATGCGCCACACAAAAAATTGTCACCTCATTTGATTTGTGTGAGGACTGTGATACTGCACCGGTGCCCAAACTGAAGCAGGTGGTTTTCTTAGTGGGCCACACCCGGAGCCTTTGACCCAAAAGTCTGATCCACAAGGCAGTGGAGCATCGTGAAGAGATGCAGTCCCATGGTAGCCGGTGGTCAATGACTGCTTCATACACCGTTTGTTCCCTTAGGATACTGGAGCCCATGTGCACTATTGGTTTGGAATCAGGGTTTTTCAACTCCCCTAGGTGAACTCGCCGTGTCCACCAACCCGGTTAACGCTCCTGACATTCGCTTTTCGTCCTCTCAATTTCGTAAACAACACTGGTGCCACGAGAAGGCAGTGAGTATGACTTCCCTGGCAGAGGTTGTATACGCGTGGCCATGTGAGATCATTTCGAGATAGAGGGCGAGTCCTCCTCGCTATTGACCTTACCATGGCATTTGGGGGCGTAATCAGTTGAAAATCTAATGAAATAAAATGAGTTCATGTTATCCTGCTCAGTTCTTTTTTCTTACTCTATATGTATACATTTAGTTGAAAAATACGTTAGATCTCAACTTTTCTAAGCTGAGTCGATAAGTGTAGACATATAGTTTGGTACTTGCCGGATAAATGATTTAAAATATATGGCTTTAAATCGGTCAGTGAGTTACTTTGATTTTTTAATCTCTAAATCTCAAATGCACTATTTGTTTTATCTTCTTTACCTACTCAACATAATTTTGTTTGCATAAGGTGTATTCACAAGTCATACCTCCTACCTCATTGTTATCTAATCTTTCACCTTTAACTGATATATCCTTATGTTGATAGGAGTTACTACTGTAGTGAACGAGAACACAAGTGGGGACAATCCAATGTATTTGAACACAAAATTACACAATATCTTAATAAAATCTGAGAACCATACAGTAAATACTTAATTTGAAAAATGTCAATCAATTATCGCAAACTTGACTGTTATTTTTGCAACTATCAGTCAATCGTCTCAAACTTCATTGTTCTTTCGTTTCCACACCAATCATTCTTTGTTCTCATTTTCTTTTCTTTGATCTTCTTGACTTTTTGCCTCCAGGCATTTCACTTTCAATTGATGATACATACTACTTATATCTGTTGAATTCAGTAGCACACACCACACTGATACTGTTACTACTTTTATGACTTTGAGATTTGTCTTGATAATTTTATCTTGCTGTGTTAATGTAGTATGGAAACTTGAACTGACATACATGCGTCGGGTTCTTTGCTGCATTTGACTACGATGATGCATCATCGTCACTATTATAATTATATTTCCTACTATTTTTAATCTGAAGTGGTTTTGTGGAGATTTCAGTATCTTTAATAGTTGAAATCATGACTCAATTGAAGCTAGACTACTATGGAGAACCTGGAAGCACTGGACGGCCGTTTCGTCTTATTATGGGACTCCTCATCAATGCGCATCCACGATCCCGCCTCGTGAGTGAGATCCGAACCCAGGACCTACCAGTCTCGAGCCAGAGCACTTAACCGATAGATCCCTGAGCCGGCATCCTATGGCGTTTATGTCTAACTCCAACCAATCCACGGAGTTGAGCAACCGTTCACCAATTGTCTTCAGTGAGTTGTTATCTCACAACAGACACTGGTCACTGCTTGCCACTAGAACTCCAGGACATGTATCTTGAAGTCATGTTTAATCTACTTTGTGATTGGTTGTTTCACTTTTCGCCTCATATCCTAACTATGCAGCTTCTGCTTTAACCACTTATTTTGTTTTATACGTTCGCTTGGCTGCTTACTGTCTCTTCTTGTATTCTCTGGATTACTTATTTGTATACTCAGCTATCAGACCTTGTAAATATAGTTGCTTAACAGTCATAATTTTCTCGTAAAAACTTCCTGATTTGCATCACAAAAAGCGAGTGCAGTGCACAATCTTACGCGGCTTCAACCTCGGATGAAATATGCATCTATTGCATTAATAATCAAAAGCGCATGTAAAAATATGCTGTGCGAAAAAATATTTGGTGTAAATTGAATCACAAATTTATATAAATTGGATTGGGAATAGAACTTGTAAGTGAACAAACTATTTTTACGGATGCTGAATTAAAGCCTTGTACAAAACAAATATCAAGGTATCTTCTAAGCTTCCAAACTTCTGCTGATGAGCAAAATGTTGTTGATGTACCTATTGTAGAATCTAAATAACTTTCAGATATTTGACTTTGAGATGGTGGTGAAGATTTGTAGCTCAGGTTGATGATTTTGATGGATCTTTGTTCTCTGAGCTGGATGGTTTGGTTGTGGAGCTTTCATCGTCCTTCTGAACGACATTTTCAGCACAAAAGTGAAGTGTTCGAATTTCTCCACATGTGGTTCACAGCTTGTCCTGTACACCTTGATGTTGATTGGTTCTTGTTGACCTTAAATCTGTCATTGTTTACTTCTTTGTTTTGGTTGTATCTCCCATTGGTTTGACTTTTGTTCCTATGTTTTTGCACAATCTTCCTGATCGGTTGATAAATTAACTTGATTTCAATGTGCTTGTTTATTGCTGATTGACCTGAGTGCCAAGCTTCTAAAAATTCTCTAGTGTGTTGGAATTGTCTCTATCCAAAATCTCCACACTTCAGTCAAATGTGTGCTCGCAGTTGTCCACGTGCATTGATATAAGTGAAGACATGTCATAGCGTTTGACTGCTAATTGGTGTTCATGTAGGCGAAGATGAAGAGGGCGTCCGCTTCATTTAGACCTATGAATTATTACCATACATATTACTGTTCCTAAATTATATTCAATTAATTGATGATTGTCTTTCACGTTCACAGCCACATTTGGCTTGATCTTGTACAAATATTATTTTCTAATTTATGATGTGATCCGTCTGTCTGGTGTATGAACCTAGCATGCTTGAAACAAATGATTCGCATAGCAGAAGCTGTAATTGGTGTTCTGGACTCAACTGGAAGGGCTAGGTGGACAAGGAACCAATAAGACGCTAGGCTACTCATACTAGTCGAACGTCATTGATTTGGTACAGTGTTAAGATTAGAAAAGTAGTATTTCGATTGTTGGATAATTCATGTGATAAAAAGCCGGACATGGAGTCACTAACGAATTAGCATATGGCCTTCTTTATTTTTTAAATTCAAAACAATATGCGTGCTTTATAATACAATATCAGGAAATGAGACTCGCGATCAATCCTCAGATTTCAACGCTTTGGAACAGACGCTTATGAAGTTTTAAAGATTTCATAACCTTTGAACAAAATTTAAGTCTGCTAACCCTTTTTTCTCCTGGAATCGAGGCAGTTATTGATTATCAGATAAAATCTGCAAGTTGACAACAAATGACCTGAATGAGCTCTTTAAATATGCAACGTTGACTGATTCCTATCCATTATTGATGTATTGGTTTAGACGTAAATTATCCGCTTCCTGGATCACACTACATTTTCAAATAAGTGTATTCATGTATGAACTTCATCGAGTCAATATTTAGATACTCACTAACAGACGCAAATCAAGTCTATATTTGCATAACCAACAACAGGATTTCAGATTACAACATACTAGTGCCAGTTATACTCAGAATGATAAAATTATAGTGAGTGGTGATAATCGAGTAATTTCTTAATTTGTGATATAGCGGGCGGATAGACATATTCGCGCAAGCTATCACTATTAAGATAATAAGACTGGCGACCGAGTTTATACTACCGTTAGACTGGATACACGAATGACCCTCAATACAGAGACTAGATCACGTTACATCAGATACAACTCATGACCAAAATATAGAACCACTCTATGAACTAGATAATACTCTGTCCCACACAGTTATAAGTAGTCACTCATCCCTCAAATGCCCTGGTACAGCCGAGAGTGGGGAGGGCTCGCCCTCGAAATGCTCTCACATACGTATACAGCATCTGCCAGGGAAATCCTACTCTCTGCCTTCTCGTGGCGCTGGTGTTGTTTACGAAATTGAGAGAATGAAAAGCGAATGTCCAGTGCTTTAACCGGGTTGGTGAGTCCACCAATAGTGCACATGGGCTCCAGTACCCTGAAGGAACAAATGGCGTGTAAATCAATTGTTGGTCACCGGCTACCATGAGACTGCATCTCCTCACAAGGCTCCACTGCCATGTGGATCAGACCTTTAGGTCGTAGGCTCCGGGTGTGGTCCCCTAAGAAAACCACTTGCTTCAGTCTGGGTACCGGTGCAGTATCACAACGCACACACAATTCAAATGAGATGACAATTTTCTGTGTGGCGCATATATATCTGGTTCCTCCTTGTACCAATATATATGTGTTCAAATAAATAAACAAATAAGTCACTCGGTGAGTCCGGAGTAGAAATCATATACTTAATAGTCAGTAGGCCGAGTGGCTGTTTGCCCATGCTCGATAGCTAACACATTTACTGTTTTACGCATCATTTTCGCTACTAAGTGATGTTTATTAGAAACGTTTTGGCCTGACTTGGTATCTAGACTGGAGTCCTTTGGTAAAAATGTCTGTCCATATCTACCATCAAAAATTCTTGGAGGATGGCTGGTACAAGAAAGACATAAAATAAATTCAATTAGTAATGGATAGGTCCTCAAACAATGCACACAAGATAATCTTGATAAAAGTTAAAAACACCAAACTTATCAAGCAGATGTTGAATAGATCTAACTTATATGGGGTCAATGTAAAGAAACGAATTAAATCACCAATGTATACGTTGATCTATTTTATTAACTATTTCAACAGTAGGTGATATATCAACAACATGAGCAATAAATAAATTTTTCTGAACTGAGGCAATTTAGGAGAGAAAATTAATTTTTGCAGTTATGATTTATATTATACTGAGTTACAATATTGTAAAAAGCTTCAATTGACTCAGGATTTCAACTTTGAAAATACTTAAATTTCTATAAAACCTCTTCTGAAATAAATATTGGTACAAAGGGGCACCAGATATATATACGCCATAAAATCTCAGTTGATTAGTGTGAGGGCTGTGATACTGCTCAGGTGCCCAAACTGAAGCAGATATTTCACTGAACCTTGATGTTTTCGATATTCATCTTATATTATAATTATTTATACGTAATTAGCAATCATCAAAAAAGAATATGCACATAAAGATTCCTATTTTTTTTACAGGTTTATCCTATCTTCTTACTAGTTGGGGTGGGTAGAGAATGTTGCGGGGTATACCATTCAAAAGTAGTTGAAAGGGTACAGTTACTGGGTCAATATTTTCCAATTGAGTAGTCAAGTGTAGGTTATAAAAGTAACGATTGATTCTCATCTGATCCGACATACAGAACGATCAATAATAAACTGATGGTTAGTAATTACTTATGGCTGAGTGAAGATTGCTAGATGATCGTATTTGGCATCTATTAATAAGGAACGCCGTTAGTGGTGCGAATTTTATATTCCAATGAACTATACTATGGTGAATAATTAATCTAACTATACTTGGAGTATGGTACTCTTCTTAATAGAGATAGGATATGGATATTAAATATTTCTGTCATACAACCCTAACCCTTACTAAAATCTCCACATAACTCCTGCTGATAAGTCGCCATAGTTCATTTATCAATTTGGAACCCTAAGTAAAGTATGGTACCATGTAGACATGGTATATAACATAGGCGTAGTAATGAAAGCAAGAAATAAATGTTTAAAAAGACAAAACCCCATTCTATTTGGTAGTAATGAATACATTCAGTGAGATACAACCCCACGAGCGCAGAAAACTTATACAATACACAACAAAACTACATAGTAGGAAGAAAAAAATAATCAATTACACTACCAGTAAGTCAAAAGGAACGTGATCATAAGCAAAGTAAAACAGTTAACCGCAGAAAAATAATATAGATAACTACAAAACTAATATCAGAATGTTTAATGGTGTAAAACATTTCAGGCTACAGAACATATATATTTGCAGAAGAGAGAAAGAGAGAGATAAGTGATATAATGGAGTACTTACTGTTTCTGAAAAGAAAGTAACTAGCTGTTACTTATTAAAAATAAGTCACTCCAGTAGTAACCTCATATGGTAACCCCATGGTAATTTATAAAAAGTTAGCATCACAGAAAACAGCTGACAAATATCACAGTTATATATACTTCATGATAAATTTATTGCATCATGCTGTATAACAGGTTTTTGGTTATTACCATAATATTCATCATTTTCCCGAATATTATTTATTTCATACCGACGTTGTTCATCCTCCATATGTGCACAATATGAATAGATACCATACAATACACGTAATACAGCATTGCTATCGCCTGCAACAATTTCTTCAGGTTTTGCTGGAGGTTCAACCATACCAGCTGCTTGAATAAGTTCAAAGGCTAGTTTAATATTTGATATACACAATTCTTCTGTTGTTGGTGTTGGATGATATGCATGAAATGGTACAAAATAACCGTCAATAAGACTCATTAATAGAATAAGTAAGACACCATCTCTAAACTAATGATCAAAGAATGAATAAAATAGAAACATTTCCATTAGCTAAGTATAAAGATAAAGAAAATAGATTTTACAAAATTGTGCAACTCGAAAACCAGCTAGAGGCCCGTACAACACCTTAAGTTAAATTTATTAGATCAAAGATAGATGTACCATCTAAATGAAAAAAACAACAACTTGGGTGTAGACCCACTATATTGGTTGATTAATTTGATAATGTAAATAAGTAGTAATAAAAACTTACAGTTTATTGTTTATGATTTTGTTATGCTAAAATGGTTGATCAATACCAACATGACTATCTGATGAAATGGTCGAGTGAATTAACAGTTAGACAAGCTTGTCATCAACTTATTGAACCATTTGCTACGAAATAAAACGATTACTTAATCATGAAAGGTGCAACTAACATAAAGTGACTGTGAATCATATGCGAGGTTGAAAACGAAGATTATCAGAAAGTTGAAATAATGAATTGGTTATCGTGTCAATTGAGTAAATCTTCAATAAGTTGTTACATATTGGTAAATTTATTGTGATGAGTGTTTATAAAACATGATAGTAGGCAGATCCAACGAAAAACCATTACATTGTAAAACAACTTGCCAAAATTTGGAGAGTGGTAGGTTTCTGAAAATATCAGTCAGTCACAATGTAGAACCTGTACGTATGTGCATCGGTTCAAGTTGTCATACCCCATTAACACAGAGACGAATTTGTCAGGGCAAATCTCACAATAGTAGAGGTAGTAACAGTATCAGTGGTAATAGAAAAGACTAGGCATCGAATATACGACTCAAACAGAAAATATGAACTAGCAAAATATAAACAAAATTAAGTTATGAGGAATGTAGAGTTTCAGGATATGGGGTAAGACAAAACAGAGATGCACCTGTGCCATTCCAAACGATTTTGAGCCGTGTCATTCAAAGTCTAATCATTGGTTACGATAATCACTGGGACCACAATCAGGTAATCTATACCTATTAACATGGTTAAGTTCAATTGTCAGAGACTTCATATACTGATGCCATGTTTTGGTTTGGTCGCTCCTAGCTTTCTTCCACAGTTTGCTGCTGCATCAGAAAACATCACCCGTCGAGGTAGGGGGTGGTTGGGCATACATAACACATGTCCCAACCACCTCAGTTGATGAAGGTTTACTACCTCATCAATAAGTTTTTCATTTTTATCTGGTATTGTATTCCTAACCCAGAGATTGCTTACTCCGTGGTTGCAAAATACACGGACAATGCTTTGTAGACACGTATAATCAAATGTCAGTGACCTACAAACATCCTCTACTCTTAATGACAATGTTTCACATGCACAAAATATAACGCAGCAAATTGCTGCATAGTAAACCCGCGGAGGTTCCACCTAGGGGGGGGGTTGGAAAGCCCTTGTTTCGAACCAATGGTGCACATGTGCTGTAGGATCCGGAGAGAACAAATGGCGTATGAACCAATTGTTGGTCACCAGCTCAATGAGACTGAATTTCCTTACGTTGCTCCACTGCTTTGTGGATTAGACCTTTAGGTCGAAGGATCCGGGTGTTCCCCCTCTAAGAAAACCACCTGCTTCAGTCTGGGCACCCGAGCAGAATCACAGCACACACACAAATAAAATGAAATGACGATAATTACTGAAAATACAATTTTCGCCTCCATTAAAAGTAATTTTTCTACATACTAAGTCACTTATCTACTCTCCTTTATTTACACTTTGTGTATCCTTATTTTTCAACTTATACAGCAGCTCGCCTATGGTGGAAACTCTGTTCTGTCTAGACGATCTCGAGTCATTAACTGGTCGGAAGTCGAATGCTACCACCTATTACAAATACTGACAGTCTTTCTGAAACCACGTATACCATTCAAACAGGGTCCCTCCCACGCTCGCATACTAATGCAGATCGAACAGAAGATAGGGTCTGGTGTGTCTTTAAAAAATCTTAATATCGACGTCTGTTGTCTATCCAAGACCCATATTCACGTCAGTCAGTCAGTCAGTCACAACGTAGAACTTCGTACGTACGTACATCAGTTCGAGTTGCCATACCACATTAGCACACAGATGCAGTTGTCGATTCAAATCCCATAGTGGAAGAAGTAGTAAGAGTATAATCAGAAATCCAAAAGATTAGGGTTTGAAGAAATTATTGAAGGAGTATAGTACAGTGAAATATATTTGGAAAGAGAAAAAGATAAAGACATGAGAAATTCAGAAGATTAGAATTTGGTAGAACACAAAGAGTGGATGCACCTTCGCCATTGCAAACGATTTTGAGCCATGTCATTCAAGGCCTCTAACCATCGGTTGCTGTCATCTCGCGGATCCCAACCAGGTAGTCTACACCTACCAACATGGCCCAGTCCACTTGTCAGTGACTTCATTGATTTGTGCCACGTTTTGGTCTGGCCACCCCTAGCTTTCTTCCAACCTACTCCTACACCATGAAACATTGCACGTCGGGGCAGTCGGTGGTCGGGCATACGTAACACATGTCCCAGCCATCTCAACTGATGAAGTTTCACTACTTCATCAATCGATTTGCCATCCCTACCTAGTACTCGTTTCCTAACAACTGCATTACTTACCCGGTGGTCCCAGGATATACGAGCAATGCTTCGAAGACACCTATGATCGAACACTAGTAGCCTACGAATATCCTCTACTCTTACCGGCCATGTTTCACTTCCATAAAGTAGGACGGAACGGACTGCTGCACAGTAAACCCGTCCTTTGGTTGCTAGACGGATATCTCGCCTACGCCACAAATGATGCAAGTTGGCGAAAGCTAGACGAGCCTTCTGTATCCGTGCTGAGATTTCGTCAAACACCAGACCACAAGGGCTGATGAGACTCCCAAGATAAGTGAAGTGGTCTACACGCTCAACTACTTCACTCCCTATCATTAGTTCAGGTGTCGCTGCAACCCAATCCTGAAGTAACATTTTGCACTTCGAGGGAGAGAATCGCATCCCGAACATGCCTGCATTGTTGCTTATGGTGGTCAGAAGACTCTGCATTTTGTCAGCGTCTTCACCGAGTAAAACTATGTCGTCGGCGTATTCTAAGTCAACAAGTGAGCCTCCCGGTAAGAGTTCAACTCCTGGAGGCTTAGCTGATGAAAGTGCTATCTCTAAAAGTATGTCAATGACAAAGTTAAACAAAAATGGGGAGAGTGGACAGCCCTGACGAACGCCACTTGTGGTAATCAGTTCTGATGACAGTTCGCCATAGGCTCTAACTCGACCAGTTGTGTTCGAGTAGAGAGCCTTTATGAGGTTAATGTACTTCTTTGGTACTCCTTTCAGTGACAAACATTGCCATAGAACCTCACGATCAACGGAGTCAAATGCCGCCTTAAGGTCAAGAAATACTACTATTGTGGGACGTCTGAATTTGTGTCTATGTTCTAGAACCTGACGTAGGGTGAATATCTGGTCTATGCAACCACGTCCAGGTCGAAAACCAGCCTGGTTTTCTCTAGTCTGCTCTTCACGAGCTTTGGTTAGGCGACCTAGTATTATTCAAGCTAATATTTTAGACACTATATTAGTCAAACTGATCCCTCTGTGATTGTCACAGGAGGACTTTTGTCCTTTCTTATAGACTGGCACAATCAGTGATTGGGACCAGTCAGATGGAATTACGTCCAGTTCCCAGATTCTACCTAAGACCTCAGTCAATCTCACTGCTAGTACTGGACCACCATCCTTAAAAATCTCAGGGGTCAACCTGTCAGGGCCTGCTGCTCTCCCTCGCTTCAGATTTCCTATAGCTTTTTCAACCTCACAGAGGGTTGGAGGACTTACGTCAATTTGCCATTCAGGACGACTGGGGATCGTGGGTAATTGAAGCGTGGCTGAAGGCCAGTTGAACTGATCCCTAAAGTGTTCTGCCCATCGATCCAATCTTCTGGATTGAGAATGAATAATATGCCCATCTCTATCTGAGATGGTTTCACTGATATTCGGGTTCCTAATGCCGGTTTCTTTAACGAGTCTGAATAGCTGCCTACTGTTACCTATTGCCGCTGCCTTTTCCATCTCTTTTGCTTTCCCTACCCACCACTGTTCACGATCATTACGTAGGCTTCTTATAAGCCTGCGCTTAAGTTGACTCCGCTCTTCGTTATGCTCAGAGCCAGGTGGGATGAGTTTACGAGCATCTATCAGTGCGGAAGATGCTGCCGAGATCCATTGTTTCTCCCTAACGTTATGGTTTACCTTACTAGCGGACATCACTGCTGTTTCCACAGCTTTTCGGATGTCATTCCACGCTGCTTCGGGGTGGACACAACTTACATGGCTGCCTAACTGTTTTTCTAGTTGTTCCTGAAATATATTCTTAGCTTGCCTATCATTAAGTAGAACCCTTAGAGGCTTCCCTGCAGTGTCTTTCCTACGACCAGTAAGACGCAGACAGATACGTGCTCGCACTAGAGCATGATCTGAATCTAAACATGTGCCCCAGAATGAGCGACAGTCTTCAATCGAGCCCCTCCATCGGTGGCTGATAGCGATGTGATCTAATTGGGTCCAACGTTGGGACGAATTCGGGGGTCGCCATGTCAAAAGATGTTTTTCCTTATGCTTAAAGTTAGTATTTGCAAGAAATAGGCGGTTATCTGAGCACAGCTGCAACAGACGGTCGCCATTATCTGTTCTTTTCGCCATGACACCATGAGATCCCCCCAGGTGTCTTTCCCTTTCACTTAGTTTACCTACTTGAGCATTAAAGTCACCTGCTACTATTACAACATCAGAACGCCTAGCTTCTCGGAGAAGGTCAGAAAGTTTTCTGTAAAACTCATCTTTTATATCGTCTGAGCTGCAGTCAGTGGGAGAGTAGGCAGAGACGACGAAGAGGCAACGACGAGTTTCCCTATCTTTCCGGGTCCTTACTGATCCGTTTAGTCGGACAGCGCATAGACGACTGTCTACTGGGATCCAGTCTAAAAGAGCTAGTTCTGCCCTAGGACTTAATGCTATACCTACTCCAGCGAGGCCACGGGAAGCAGCGTCAGGGCTTCCAGATACACGAAGCGTGTATCGAGATGAAACTTTATTTTGATTAGGTGAGGTCAAATGAATGACACTACTCGGATCTTGTATGCGCGTTTCGGAGACGCAGCACACATCGATGGTGTAAGATTCTAGAGTCCTAGCTAAGGAAGCCTGTTGTCCTATTTGGCACAATGTTCGGACATTAAAAGTTCCTATATGTAGTTTAGAGCGTGGTTTCAGGAGACCAGAAATAACGTTCTGTGTACTCGAATCGTTTGCCCTAGCGGTGCGAGGTGATAAAAGGACGTGGGAAGGGTTAGTCGTGGAGATAACAGAGTTATTAGGTGTAGGAAGGATTTGAAAGCGACCAACTTGGTCTTGTGTGCAGCTAAGGGTATGAGGGCTAGTATCACTTCCCGGCTGCCCACACCGTGGAAGGGTATTTCTTGAGGGACCTGAAAAAGAAGTTGGATTAGTGTTGGTCTTAACGACCTGGGTGCGTGACCGCAGTGCCCAAGGAACATCTGCTTGAGGCCGGTCACGCACGGCCTTTTTGTGGGGGATTTTTGACGTGTTAGCTCCGTTCTTCAAAAGTCCTTACCGCCGGAGACGGAAATCCGTGGGATAAGGCGAGGTGTGCATTTTTAGGGTCGACCTTTTCTAACCCCACCCCTCCTTGTGGGAAGGCAGCATCGCTGTCATGCTGGTTGTCTGAAGGAAACACCTTACTGCTTTCACACCTCTGTACAGTCAGCAGTACGACTTCGCCTTCGGACCTTGGGATTGCTGCTTTTAGTCTCACCGCTCTTCAATCGACCTGTCTGGCATGGTAGGACCTTGAGGAACGATTGTTCCAGCCAGCATAGCTCGATTGGATCATCACGATAGGCAAGCCCGACCACCACGTCAAGGTAGCAGCAACGACTTGAGTGAAGTACTACAAACTCGCTCTCCATCTGCCGCTTCAAAAAGGTTGTTTTACATGCGTCTACCAGGGGACTCTATGGCATCTCCGTCTGGTTTTGCTGACCTTGGTGACGCACTGAGCGCTAGAACTGAGGCAGCCCTAATCGATTGGATCCCCATTAACAGTCGGTTGTGTACTGTTAGATCAGAAAGTTCCATCAAAGTGAGAAGAAATCGATATGAGAAACGATATCTTTTCGTCACCTCCGTTTACGATTCGAAAGATTGCAGCCTGGATGCGATCAAGGATGAATTTTACCCCCAGTTAACTGTTCTACAGAAAGTGCGTTCAACAGATATTGTAGTACTAGCTGGAGACTTCAATGCTCAGGTCAGGCGTCTAGGTACAGAAGAGAGTCGTTGAGGTGGCCGATAGGGACTTGTTGGTCGCAGGACAGATAACGGAGACCGTCTACTGAAACTGTGAACAGACCACAACCTATTTCTGGCTAGCACTAACTACCGGCACAGTCCTCGCCAATGTGCCACCTGGTGTCCTTCCTCTGCATCCCAAGCCTGGACTCAGATTGATCACGTCGCGACCAGCTACCGCTGGCGTGGTTGTGTACAAGACTGCTGCATTTTTAGAGTACCTATCTGGACTCTGATTATGCCCTTGTTTGCGCTAATCTTACCTTACTTTTCAGTGACCAACAAATTCATCGTCCTTAACAGAACAATGTCAGTAAATTGGTTAAGTCAGACAGAGCCAATGAGAGTTAGGCTTTGAACACCTTTTATAGACAGTGTGACTTAAGCGGGTGCACATTTTATGGAACTACTTCTTACACTCATCACATTGCATTTCTTCTTCTACAGGGAATAAGCAATATGGTTGTTCACACTTGTGAGCAGAGCCGATTATCTTAAAAATTAACTAAAATGGTAGACAAAATCGATATGAAAGAAAAATCTCAAACCTTGATCAAATAAATCAAGTCAAATTCGACCAGGAATGCTTTAATGCAATAAATACACAAAAGCAACATCAAAACACACAAATACAAATAAATTCAATTCAAGTGTGAACAGTAGTATTTATGCGTAATTTACGATCAAAACAGTGAATTTAACTCAACTAGAAACAATGCCACTATTTATTTTAAACAGCGAGCGTACTGGACTCTGAGACAGAATATTTTTCAAAATCTATCTAAGGATTGCCAGAATTTTCTGAATGGTAAATTTAAGACTTAATATGCTACGCAGTGAAATCAATGTAGAGTATTAGTAACGTTTTTAAACCTCGGTGCCTAACGAATAATAGAGATATAATTCAAACCCCTTCCTTAAAGGCTTAACACATTTGATTGACTTTTCTACAACTACTGTTATCAAGATGTGCATACGAACCACGTAAGAATGACAGATAATAGTATTTTATTCCAAAACTAAGAGAGAAGTGTGCCTGAAGATTTAGTTTATTAGGTAATAAAATTGCAAAGAAATAGAACTCCTTCGTTTTGTACCTTTAACCTGCTTAATATATTCATCGTCCTACGGCAAGAAGCAAACGTATCAGATTAGGTAGATAATGTATTAGTTTAACAAAAGATATTTAAATCTAAGGCGGCCTGCTTGAATATCTGGGCTACCTGTTCCTGCCACCTCGATATTCCAACAAGTTTTATGTTTAGTTGTTTATTTTAACAGATCATTATGTCAATTAATTGCATAACCTATTCAGGTGCGTTTGCGAATAGTTTACGACCTTCCGCTGTACAAGTTATAAAAATGTACAATCGGAGACATTGTAATGGCTGGCAATATGCATTGAACGGTTGAATATTATTCAGATGTCGACTTTTGAAATGCTAATATCTACCTGTGGATCATTCAACATTTATCATCAGGATCGACGAAGAAGTAAGAAACGGAAACTCGTTGAAATACTTTGTGCTGAGAATTCTATGTTGTACCAAAAATATAATATTGAATAAAGCTAATAACAAATGAAATAACTGAAATTCTTTACTAGTTCTATACTTATGTCAAGCAAACTGATAGTTGAATCTTTCCTTTTGTTTAATTAAAATCTATCTTGTCTTAAGGCTTTATAATCCAATAGTTCAAACTGAGAAAGAGACATAAAAAGCTTGAGGAATATCACTTATTGCCATAATAGATGATTATTCTCTATAAAGTCGAAAATAGCTAGTGTAGGATGTTGTTAAGGATACTTGTGTCTTAATATCTTGAGTGAAGTAAAGGCCATGTCAATATACCTTCACACACACCTCGGTTGTTATCTCAGTTAGTCCAGATATCATTTCACTGTTGCCACTATTACTCCTGGGTGTAGAGAATACAACTCTTCTGAAGTATAATAAATGCGTCGAAATTTTTAGACTTGTTTATAAGATGGATTAGTTGATTTACATTCTATGTTCAAAGACTGTTAATAATTCGATAGATATTTCGTAACTTTTGAAGCTTGTAACGAATAAAAGACGATATTTATGTGCCCAGTCAGACATAGTTTCCTCTTTAGATATTCGGTAAGAACTAAAACAGAGATAATTTAATTTTTAAATGACTAACCAAAGCAACAAGATCACATTCGAATTCACTAACGGAGTACTTTACTTCAAAAAAGAATTCTCTGTGAGTTTTAAGAAGTATGCAGTAGAACCAGTGTCGGTTGAAAGGAAAAAAACATGAAGGTGAAGAATACCAATGTATATGAGGCTGACCTTAGACGTCTAACGATAGTATTGTTTAGCTGATCAAAAGGTTAGTGAGAGGAAGCTTTAATCTTTTACCCATATACTAATCAAAATGCTCGTAAATCGTGTGGTTTCCGAAACTGTATATATCAGTTTTATTTCAACAAAATTACTACAAAACGTCAAACTACAGATCGACTCACATGAACTACAGTGAAAGTTTATAAGTTGAATACATATCTCGACTTGGTAGATAAGATATATGTGCATCCATTGGTTTGGTCTTTTGAAGCCATCGTAATAAGGAGAAACAAAAACGAGCATCTACATCAAGCAAACCAGGTAACACGCTATGACCAACACTGGGGAAGTAGGCTTTAGGGTTATTATATGTCAATAGTACCTAAAAAACCAACCCAAACTGACATTATTTTAGTGAGATGAATTAAAATACTAAAAGATTTGAGCAGTAATTCATGCAAAAAACTTACATCTTTGGAGAGATCACTAACATGAAAGCCAACTTGTTCCAAATGTGTATTGATAAAAGTAAGAACTGCTTGCAAAACCATATGATGTTCTGATATGGCGTCAAGAGGACTGCTGGCTTGAAGTGTAAAACAGTAATTAATTAATAAGCTTATATTAGTCGAAGAAGCAATGTTATCTAGCTCTCAACATTTATTCATCTGGTATTTTTACTTACGAGAAAAACACTAACCAACTTTAAGTAACAGAAAGATAAATGAATGAATAAAACGATATCGAGATCAGCAATCACATAAAGATTTGTTTATTCAATTATGAGTTACGTCAGTTAGTCATTATCAAGGTTGAACCTTTTGCGAATGTGCATTATCACATATTACAACTCACGTTGGCACAGAGAGAACAAATCAACACTCCGAGTATAAGATAGAAAACAATACCGAAAGCAATGGAAACTAAACAAGACAAAAACAGTTCAATGAGAAGACTGAGTTGATCTTATAATTTTTTCAGATTTAGAGGAACGACAACAGTCAATACAATTGTGTCACTATAACCAATTTCGTGTCATGTCACCCAGTTTCCAACATGGTTCAAACCAATAGCCAATTAGTTTATGGAAAAGTCACAAATTGATTTTCGCACATGTATCTTCGTTCCAATCAATTAGCATGTCAGATAACATCGTATGTTAAGGAAAGGTAATCATGGGGAGCACAAGTTGAATTATTTTATTCCATGAATGATAATATCCTGAACGCCCCCAAATGCCCTGGTACGGCCGAGAGTGGGGAGAGTTTACTCTCTCTCTCGAAATGCTCTCACATGACCAGCGAATATATAGCCTCTGCCAGGGAAGTCCTACTCACTGCCTTCTCGTGGCACCGGTGTTGTTTACGAAAGTGAGAGAACGAAAAGCGAATGTCCGGCGCTTTAACCGGGTTGGTGGACACGGAGGGTCCACCTAGGGGAGATGGAAAACCCTGATTCCAAACCAATGGTGCACATGGGCTCCAGTATCCTGATGGAACGAATGGCGGACGAACCTGTCATTGGTCAACGGCTACCATGGGACTGCATCTCTTCACGATGCTCCACTGCCTTGTGGATCAGACCTTTTGGTCAAAGGCTCGGGGTGTGGCCCCCTAAGAAACCCACCTGCTACGGTTTGGGCACCCGGGCAGTATCACAGCCCACACACACACAAATAGTGTGGCGCATATGTACCTGGTGCCCTTTTGTACCAATATATGTGTTTAAATAAATAAATAAAAATAAATATCCTGAACGCCATATTTTAAAACAAGATAAAGAATATCAACCAAACAAATGAGATATTTAACAGGACAGTGGTATCACAGAGAATAAGTAAACGAAGAACAAAATCTTAAGAATTAAGGATGCTTCGGATTCAATCACTATAGGACAAGGATATAAGCCGGTAGAATATGTTTCAGCTACTTCTTATACTCTTTCATTAGTATATATATTAGTACTGGTATACAAACGCGGAAATGATTTCTAAGACATTTCAACTTTTAAAGTAGGACATAATGAATACTTGTTTTTTCAATGTTCTAAAGAAATGAACAACACGGTAAAGACCTAAATTCCATGCTTAATTCCACACACTAATATGTTTAAGAAAATCCCTGAAACTTAAACTGGCAACATCCAGTTTAGATCCTAAGTTTCTTAGTTATCTTGGATTTTTCAACTCCGCAAATTTATAATTTTCTTTTCAATTCGTGTCATCTATGCCTAATATTTTCCACTATCACCGACACTCTTACAACTTACATTGTTATGGCATTTCTCTGTTCTAATGCGGTGTGGCAACTTGAACCGATGCATATGTGGTTTTAAGTGGCGAATGAATAGTAGGGTGGTAGTTCATTTGAAGGCATAGCTTTAGATATATTTATTTTTCATCAAGTTGATTAAAACATCTAAATCCTCAATTAATTAACGCTATGGTCATAACAACTTCGAGTCATCAAACTATTTACGGTCGAAGGTGTAACACTATAGGAAATTCGGTAAATAAATCGTTTGTTTTAGAAACACAATATGATAAAAGTGATTTATTTTAAAGATGCACCAAAATATCCATTGTAACTCGAACACATGTTGGCAGTTACTTCTAATTTAATTTCAGGACAATCAGGTGAGATCATTATCATTAAATTCACTAACATATAATTATTGCATATTCATTTGAAAAAAATGCTAACAATTAGTAAAATGAAATTCCATTAATAGCTTATGAATACAATGTAATATGAAACAACTAACCAGATAATGTTTCTGTGAATTCAGTGATGTATTCCCTTTCGTAACGATACTCCAATTTACCATTTAATTTGCGAGCGATTATGACGGTAAGAAAAATACCTGGTTGAAAACGCATTTCTGGTTTAAATTGACGAGCAATAGCAACTAGTAGGCGCAGAATAGCAACCAAGTCTTTCTGATGAATACGTTCGGCAGTCCATCGTTGACTGGCCCAACTTTCTGATACATGAAGTATTTCGTTGACAGTTTGCAATACACCCTAAAAATCAGTTAATTAATATTGCTAAAGTTACACGCAAGCGTTGAAGCTGTCCGATTTCAGACTGAGTTAACTCAGGATGATCTAGCTTTATCTTCGCTAGTTTTTCAACTAACTTTTGCAGAAGTTGACCATCATATAAGTCTTCTTGAATATCTCTCACGAGAATTCGATGTTCTGATAGTTCGTTGTTAATCCATGCCAATAATTTGTCCAGTAAATTTTTAACACTTTCAGAATTCTATGAAAGTTTTAAAATAATTTAAATAAGGCCATAAACATACTTGTGAAGACTTTTCAATAAAAGAACGCTCTTGTCCTTCTTCTAATTGATATTGTTTGGGATCGTCAGTTGTTAAAGCACTAACTGCCATTTCGATAGCTTGACGACTTTCTTTATTGAGTTCTTCAACTTCTAGGCGAGCTTTTCTTTTACGCTTGAAAGTGTCCAACTTTGAAAGAATAGAATCGTGACTTTTTAATCCTGCCATAGTAGTCATTATAATTCAAGCTGAATCCACTTAAGAATAAAGCAGAAGGACGAATAATTATGAAGTGCGACAAATTAACTGAAAATATTACTTCACTGCAAGAACACAACAATTGTATGGCCTAAATAAATAAAAAACTCCAGAACATCTTTTTTGCAAAACAAATCGACAATGATTCTTGAAAATTTAGTATGTTAGAGACACGTTATAACACTTAACAAGGATAAACTAGAGGCCTTTACAAAAAGCGTATTGAGATGCAGTTGGTTATACACGACATGGAACCTGCCAGAAGTGCATCGGTTTAGTTGCTATATCTCATTAGGCCGCCAAGGTAGAAACAGTATCAGAAGAAACTGGGTATATAAAAAAGATTTGAGATTTTTTTGACCTGGGTTCTAAGTGACATGAAGATTAAACGCGCCCATGCCACTACAAACGACTCTGAGTAGCATCACTCAGAGTCTTTAATCATTGGTTACGATAATTGCGCGGACCCCAGACGCGTAGTCCACACCTATTTACATGGCTTTGTCTGACTGTTTTCAAGTTGTTCCTCGGGCTCTGCAGATACGCTTACAGGTTGCGAAGTCTACTTCTACTCCGGTTTCCTATTCAAGTTCCCAAAGAAGAAATATCCTTCCACGATGTGGATAATGGAGAGGCAGCAACTGCCTCTGTCTCTAACGGCACTTGGCACCACTTTTTCGTGACTGAATATCTTCGTCACATTTTAACATTTTTTTCTGTCCTCACTATTATCCTTCTACCATGATTTTATCACTATGCGCCATCAATGCCAACAAATTGAGTTCAAGAAACGTTATTCCTAACCCGAAACCGCGTTTTAGATTACATGTTTGAGCTACGTTGTAACCTTGTGTCAAATAGGAAAACAAGCTTCCTGAGCTAAGACTCCAGAATATCTTGCTCTTGATGTATATTCGCCCAGAAACAAGCATACAGGAACCGATTGTGGTCATTCACTTGACTGAATCCTGTCAATATAGAAAACGAGTACGTGTCTGGGGACATGACTGCTAACTTTTGTGGCCTTGCTGGCATAGGTTTAAAACAGAACAGGTTCTTCTGAGCTGGATTCCGATGGATAGTCGCTTATGCACTATCCGACTAAACGGTACAGTAAGAACTCGGAGCGGTAGAGACACACATTGTTATCTCCGTCTACGCTCCCACTAACTGCAGTTCATATGAGGTTAAAGATGGATTTGACAAGATGTTTTTCTCTCTCCTATGAAAAGCCAAACGCTCAAGTGTAGTAATAGTGGCAAGTGGTTTTGATGGCTAATTAGGTTGTCAAAACGTAAGTGGAAGGCACTATCCTAAGATACTTAAGTATCTTCAGTTAAGTTTATTGATAGTGTTTCGGTATGAAGATTTTTTACCGGAGTTTCTATTCGCAGGATTATTCAAGTAATTAGGTGTGACATCACTGTATGCAGGTAAAGTATTAAGCTTGGGTGTTAGCTGATTAACTAGTTAATACGCGCTGTTGTATCGCTAATGAAAAAAACTGTATTCACAAAGCAGCGAGGCTTGAAACGGAAATGTAAAAACAAGGTGTGAGCAGCAGATTGACAATGAAAGCATCATATATGTAACCCATGAAGTCCAGATTTCCATAGGTTCGGATCTACTCTGAAAGTACTTTGTAAGTAGTAATGTGAAGATCTGGAGCAGGAAAAAAACAATTAAGCCACAAACTTAGCAAACACATGCAATACAGTAACGCTAAACAATTTAACCACTGGAAAACAGTTAGCAATAATACAATGGTAAGACTAAGACAACATAACCAAAACTAAGGGTAGGTGGCGTAAGATTTTGAATGACATACGAATCTGTGGAGATAGAACCTTAAAACCTATTTTGTAAATAATTTTTCATAGTTTTCGCATGTATTTTCATATTCTGTACATTAAGCATTAAACAATTGTACTTGTTGTTTAACTGTATTACTTTGAACGCTTGTAACACACTTTCCTTCCGTTGTGATTACAACATACCGTGCCACTGTTAATTCTCCTCAACAAATACACTCTAATTCACATCTGCATCGTTCTGCCCTGTCTGCTAATATGTTGAATGAAATATTAATTGCATACCATCTACGTTTATAGACAACTGCGACATTCTTATTGAATTGTACGCTTGGTAAACCTATTGGATCTATATCGTCCATATTGGGATTAATAATTTTGTTATAATTGTGGAGTATCTAGACCAAACCCAGCCGAACACGCAATAACCTGAAGACTTAAGTAACGTCCCTTATTTTGTTATTTGTGTGTGTAATTAACTTATTAACTGTTAATTGTTACATAAACTATAGACATAATATTTTTGTTGTTGGATGTTGAGTGCGTCGCTCATGTTTTCTGTATTTGAGGATTGTATCACGCTAACGCCGTGACTATCAGGATATATTTCTATCATCTTATCAGCCATGTCTGCTAAATCATCAAGACTGACAGAGGCTCCTGATATGCTGAGGATTTGTCTGACGTTATATGGTAACCTTTGTAACCATATCTGCTTAAGTAATGCTTCGTCTAACTTGTAAGGGCCTGATAGTTGTCTCATATGTCTAAGCAACTGTGAAGGTCTTTTGTCCCCTAACTCGCATGCGGTGAGTAGTTGCTGCAAGCGTTTTTCATCAGACTGCGAAGTACGGTGGATCACTGCAGCTTTTATTTTGTCATAGGGGTCCATTTCTGGTACGTTATCTATCAGGTCACTGACTTCCGTTGCAACATCTATAGGTAGTGCCCCGACGATGTGGGCATATTTAGTCGCTTGTGAACGTATGCCCCTCGCCAAAAATAGTGCCTCAACTTGTGCAAACCAGATTCTGGGATTATTAACACCATATGTTGGTAATCTCAGTTCAAAAATAGTGTTGATTGAGTTTAAAACATTATGTTCTGGCGGTGGTGAATGAAAGGAGTTGGTTAATGAGCCATCAATATCGATAAGTTTATTAGGGGAGTCCATAATGTCAAAAACAAAAAAAAATGGGGTCGTGCCGATTAATAAGAATACTAAATTATGTAACAATATATAGTAAATGTCTATAAAAAGATAATCGAGGCTCACCAAATAATTGTGGCGGACCAAAATGTATGATAACCAAAAATTAGCAACAAAAATATTATGTCTATAGTTTATGTAACAATTAACAGTTAATAAGTTAATTACACACACAAATAACAAAATAAGGGACGTTACTTAAGTCTTCAGGTTATTGCGTGTTCGGCTGGGTTTGGTCGAGATACTCCACAAATCAAGTGGTTCAGTCTTCAGTAATTAGGATAGGAGGTCTATTGACCTATTTTAGTCCTTGCAGTTTGTTACACTGTGGAGGTCCAATCTCGTTTCGAATATATCAACAGAAAGTACTGATATTAAGTGTTCTGGTAGAGAATTCCAGTAATTCACTACTCGATGCGAGAAACGAAACTCCAGACGTAGACGATTTGATCTCGGTTTTAAGACTTTCTTCGAATGTCATCTCAAATGATCAGTCCTAGAAGGGAGGAAAAGATAGGACATGTTAGCAACAATGACATCGTTCAGGATACTATATACCAATATTAGACCACCCTGTAGTCTACGGTAAGATAACGGAAATAAGTTGCGCTGTCTCAGTCTGTCTTCATAAGCTAGGCCAGATAGACATTTTATCAGTTCAGTTCCCTGCAGTTGGACTCATTTCAGCATATCCGCCTCATATTTGAAACAAGGACTCGCTGCTTGAATCCTATATGCCAGACGCGGTCGCACGAAAGTCGGGTATAATAATCTGAACATTTCCTTATCCAAACACCGAAAAGATCTACGAATAGATCATAATACCCTATAGCCTTTTGCAGCGGCAGCATTACAGTGGCTGGTTGTTTTGAGACCATTGCTTAGTATTGTAGTGTGCGTTACTGATATCCACACAAGTAGTATGTGGTTATGGTCGGGCATTGAATGTATTTCAGTAGATCGATAATGGGAGAACGAGAACGGCACGCAATTGGTACGAAAATGCATAAAAAGTTATAATCAGAGACTATGGAGGGATATTTGCAGAAGAAACAGTCAAATTGAGACAATTGACCGTTATTTTGCAAATTAATTGTTTACTGTATGGTTTTCATATTTTATTGACATATTCTGTAATGTTGTGCTAAAATATCTTCGGTTGTCCCCACACGTGTTCTCGTTCATCACATTTGGTGTCGATGCCATCCGGGAGAAAGAAGTGTGCTGTTCTGAGGACGCCGCTGCGGGCCTGGAGTCGAAGTGCAAGTTGGGGCAGTCTGATGCGGAGAGGTGACGTTCACTACAGTATGACTCCTAAATTTTTATAGTTTTTTACTTTGGGTAACACATATCCACATATTGTGTAGTGATACGAATCATCGTAGTTATTTAATTGCATCACAACACTTTTATTAGGGTTTACTTTTAGTGACCACCCATTCATCCATGCCACTAATGAGTTAAGATCTTCCTGTAAAACTATTCTGTCTGACATACTATATGTGGGTCTCTAAATCTTAATGTCATCGGCGAATACTAGGACGAATGACTTAGCTATAGCTGGTAATTCATTTATATAAAGTAAAAAGAGAACAGGACCTAAAATCGTGCCTTGGGGGACGCCACTTTTACTGGTTCCCACGATGAGAGAGCCCCATTTACTCTTACCCTTTGTCTCCTTTCATGAAGAAAGTCACTTATCCAGTCTATGACTGCATAATGAATTCCAAAACTTTCTAGTTTTAATTTAAGATCAGAATGGGAAACCTTATCAAAGGCTTTACTTAGATCTATGAAAATGACATCTACAGGAATATTGCGATCTTTTGCCTCAGCCCAATCTTCTCTTGTAATGAGAAGATTTCTCAAACATGATAGACCTTTTCGAAAACCATGTTGTTCCTTTGACAAAAGATCATGTATTTCCACGTAGTTTATAACAGCCATCCTAATAATTTTTTCCATGAGTTTTACAACTGCACTAGTTAAGATGACGGGTCGATAGTTACTAACTAAATCTATACTCCCAGCCTTATACACCGGACTAATTATCGCGTCTTTCCAGTCTCTGGGCAATCTGGACTGCCGCAGGAACATATCAAACAGTAGTGTTATAGGTTTAGCAATTACATCTGATAGGGCTTTTATAATTCGAGGATGAATATCATCAGAATCACTAGACTTAACAGGTTTCAGATGCTGAAGAAGGCTTAAAACAGTTTCTTTTTTAATAACTACAAGGCCAATCAACAAGCCGCCACAATCACAATGAATAGGTGGTCGTTCCTCATTATTGATAGAGAAAACGTTCCTGAAATATTCTGATAAAGTTTCAACTTTTTTGATATCATTTCTTGCCAAAATTAACGGATGTTCTTGTACCAAAAGTGATGGGATTCCATCACTTCTCTGAGTTTGCCTCTTTATGTACGAGAATAACCGTTCTCCACTATATTTACAATCTGTTACGTCTTGTAAGTTGAACGCTATATTCAGATCCTAAGCTATTCTGATAACCCCAGGCTAGAACTAGTCAGCGACTTGAACACCAGGGAGAAGACTCGAGTATGAGAGAAAACACTTTACTGCAAGGTTCATTCATGTACAGAAAATACAGGGATTTTATAGTAATTAAGAGACCTTGAGGTTACATAGTAACAGTGTGTAAATCAGCCAATCAGGATCTCGTTATTTTAGTAACGTAACTTCACACAACTTCTAATTAATCGCTGATTGGTTGGGGCTGTTTATGAGCCTCTGGAGGCTCTGTTAGAGTTCTCTGGAGGCCGACTCAACACAATCGGTATCCAATTGTTATTCATATGGCCGTCCAGTCTTACTAATTAACGCTTTAGAAGTATTTCTAATCTTACAATACCTGGATCTGTAGTTATCTAAGCCAGTAGAGATGGACACATTCTAGCGCTTTTTCCCACGTCTAAGAAGTTTCTTGACCTGTTTATTTATCCATGGTGGACTATTATTCGGTCTACGTGTTACCAAGTATGGTGTGAACGGGGACGTGACTGCACTAAACTTGCCTTTAAATATAGACCATACCTCTTCAACTGATGAGCTGGTATCTACTGACCAATCTTTCTTAGCAGCACACTCCTGAATGGCTGATATGTTAGTTCTCCATATGTTTGGGCGAGGCTCAATCTGATCGTATATCATGTCGCTAGCTCTAAACGTGAATGATAAAACAGCGTGATCGCTATTTACTAACGGGGGAAGAATATTTTGTTTGGCAATATCCTCAGTCTCATAAGTGATTACCAAGTCCAACAGAAAACCTTGGTTTACACCGAAACATGTAGGTTTGGATACATGCTGTACTAATGCATGCTCCATTAGCGTCACCAGGAACCTACTGTCAAAGGAGTTTATAGATCCCTTCGTGGTCATCTCAATCCGATTAATGTCAGTTGCATTAAAGTATCTCAATATCAAGCATATGTTACTTGCAATCCGTAGCCGAATGTGCTCTAAAATAAGGTCATCGGCTAAGGAGATTGGGCTGCGAAGGATGACACCGAGTATAAATGTACAACAACCGATAGTGAGCTCACAGCTAATGACTTCACTAGTTCCACTATCATGGGATTCGCAAACGGGGGAGCGGATATTTATATTATTGGCTATATACTGAAGGACGCCACCTCCTTTCCTGCATCCATGTCTACCACTTCTTAAACAATGGTATCCGGATAATTCTGGGGTAATATCGAAGTTATGGACTAACCAAGTTTCCGTCACAGCTACAATGAGCGGTCTTAATTTGTCCACTAACGCTCCTAGTTCGTAGAATTTATGTCTTAGACTACGAGCGTCGGCATATAAAACTCCTGGGGAGAATGACCTATCCACACAGGCCCTGGTAGCATTCGCTTCCAAGACCTGACTATTCGAAAACCCACTAATCGGAGATTTTCCTAACCGTTTTGTCGACTGATTTCTGTTATAACGTATAGATTTCTGGCCTCTTAATATATATGTATATGTCCAATGATACAGAAAATACGTACGAACAGTATTGGGTGCTATTCGGTCCTTCCTATCTGCCTAGCCCAGCCCGTTAGTCCAGAACACAAATAACAGCCTCAGCAATATGAATCATTATTCACAAGCATACTGGGTTATATATACTAACCAAACAGACCACATATATCAAAAATAGAAAAATAACATTTGTACAGTAATTGGCCAATGTGGCTGTAGCTAGGGGAAAAGTAATCAATAATAATAGTTCCAAGGTCAAAATAAAGGTTATGATAAGAGGAACACAGAAACGATTAGGTCACTTATTTAACAACTATCCAATGGTGAATAGGCATATTATATTTGTCCATAAATAGACCTCAGATTTATGATTCATAATTCGCCAGGGGATATAACAATTTCTAGTTCAGCTAGTGCCGTATTCCTCTTTATTCCATCTTCAACAGACCTATCCGGCCTAAATAGGAATAATATATTTGTAAAATCTCTGAGATTTTACAAATATATTATTCCTATTTATTGTCTTTCATCAACTCGGCGCTCAAATACTGTGAAACTATTCACTCTAATTTAGACGAGAGTCCTTATATAGTATCCGGCCTAATTTGAATGTCAGAATTGCAGTGACTTCGAGTGCTACTATACGGAAGATGACGTTGTTTCTCCGACCCTAGGGAGACCTTAAGGAGTCATTTTACCTCTTCTAACCATTTTTTGAACTGGACACCTTTAAAGTTATCTGATAATATGCTGTGGATGTATTCTACGAGCCTCTCCAAATCATGGGCGTGTCTAATTTTTGAATGTGGATCGCTCGACTCTGATAATTTACTCACAATAATATTTGATTAGATTAAGTTCTTCTCAGTCACGCTAAGTTGTTGTTCTGCCTTACTATCAGTGTTTGGCAGCGCATTGTGTGACTCAGAATGCGAGTTCCCCAATGACTTGCCAACCCACTGCGTATTATCTTCAGTTTTTTTCTTTTCGTCCGTACTGGTGTCCATTTTTCATAATTCAGGACAGCCACATCTGGGACGGTGACGCTTTTATCCGGGTCCTCAATTTCTACTGAAGATGCATGATATTCATGTCAATATCAAGTGGTAATTTACTCCCCATTAGTTGTAACGGAATTTTCACTTTGCCTTTATTCGCCGTAGGTTGTTTAACGCGTCTTGTAACAGCATTTACAACACTGACACAGTTTTCACTGTCAGTACTTGTGTCACTAATGCAACCACTATCGTTCTTTTTACGGGTCAAATCTAATAGGCTCATAGCCTACTGGATTAATATCGTCTTGTTTGTACAGCAGAACATGCATAGCCAGTGCGAGTTAGGCGTAGAGCATCTCTTATATGCAGCAGGACTAAGACGGGTACACATCTTGTGGCACCACATTTTACACTCATCACACTGCATCCCTTCATCCACAAGGAATGAACGATTCGGCTGTTCACATTTGTAAGCACTGCCAACCATTGTAATTAGATTAGGGTTAGAAATACAATATGATCACAATAGTAACACCAGTGTCAGAGTTTATGAGAAAGAAGGCACCACGAGACAAAGTTTTCAACAAAATTTCAAACCTTGGCCGAAATAATTCAAGGTAAAGTAGACCAAGAATGCTTTTCGATGCAACAATAGTCACAACAAGTACGAAATTACTGTCCTTTTTGAAACACGCGGTCAACATTAATGCAGAAGACCTACAGAGCTATATTTTTGGGGATATATTTACCGCTACGCTCCCATAATGAACCGTCATAATTGGTACTTCTTTTTTGCCTCCTGAGTGAAGGCTCAATGTTCGCTTTACCTTATTCTATAGTAAAAGCGACAACATAAGTGGCTACTTCTCAATCATATTTCATACCAATTACAAAAGCTTTTTCTATTAACATTTGGAAAGCGATAATAGTCATTTTTGTCATAAAACCATAATGAATAAAGCATAAATCATTTGATTTATCATTGATAGTTACTGGAATTGTCTGTTAATAGTTTGTTTAGCTACACCAGAAGACATGTACTGATTTGTGCAGACTTTCGTATTTGGCGAAATTATCAGGATGAACATAGGGATTCCAATGGCTTGGAATAGGGTTTTCGTACTCGCAGTGTTGCTTTGTAAGTCCATTGAACTTATTCGTAATCTGTTTTCAACTAAATTCTGAATTTTTTCATCACGTTTGATTGATATGGTTGTGATGTCAAATTGACACATTTTAAAGATCGAACTTTTATATCCCCTGAAATCCTTTTACAGTTGCCTGTAATTGTCTAGTTTTTTCCCGCATTTTGAAACTCTGTTGGACTTTTTTCAAGGAGTTAAGTATGATATTTGTTCTATCCATATGATCAAAGAGCATTTTTAATCACTGTTTATATATATATATATATATATGCGCACTTCGCATGAAAACTAAACAAAAGATCTGACACTTTCCAAGTGTTTTTTTACGTCGTTGACGTTTAGCCGTCACGGTTTTACCCTTATGATTTGTATCATGTTGGAAAGTACGTCCTTTACACGAGCATAATAGTCTGGTCAAACCACTTCTTTCGCTGGATATAATCTACCTAGCTCGGCAGACGAAAGAAAAGTTCAGTCGATATTCCCTTCAGCCAGGCCATTCAACTTCGTATGAAGTCATTCTATATTTTCGCAGTCTACAGGTATGTACATCTTGCAGCTCAACAATGCTTGTGACTGTCAGTAAACCTACGATAAATGTTTTCAAGTAAAGGAGATTGGTGGACAGCTGCTGCATGCGGAACTGGACGGAAATTATCATTCCAGTTCATCAGAAAATTTAAATGCCAGCCAGCGTTGTGGAGTCCTCCAGAGATTTCAAACGTTCACATGCCGATAATGATTGCAGCCAGCCTACATATAATCCGCATGGTAGAACCGATAGTGAAGGTCCTTCCAACGCTTCTGTTACACTCACCATGTCAATTCTTCCCTATCTCCTCAAGGTGTTCTGGTTTATATTTCCCTAGAAATGTTTACACAAGCAGGAATACTGCTCGCTGACTTCATGCACTAATGTCATAGCTTAAACCTTATATCTTTTTCACTTACTTCTTACCATATAGCTCTTCAGTTGTAATGAACGAGGGTTAATACTCTTTATTCTCAATGTTGCGAAGATCCTGTGTTCCTTTAAATGTATCGAAATAGGATTACGGTACTACGTTTTGTGGTTGAAGACATTGGTAGTTCACTACACAGTGCTAGAAGGTCAACTTCAAAAGTGAACGATTTGACCCTAGTTTTTTAACTTTTAGAAGGTGTGTTTTTAGGTATGGTGTGAATTTGCGGTATTGTTTAAACTTTTCAGTACTTAAAGTGGGTCATAAGTATTTAGAGTTTATGCTTACCAGTATTCGCTGGATAGTTACATTAAAATATTTGTTTCAGCTTCTGGAATTTGTCTAGCATGTAATATTATAGGGAGCTTTATATGTTCCCTCTTTATACGAAAGGGAGCTAGATGGAGTGGCTTATAAATAACTTATGGAATAGCAGAAGGCTAAGCCGGGTAATAGCCCGTAGACAAATTCAATTGCAGTTGAAACCGCAGGAGACATTGTGTGACAAGACTAAGTTATTGACAATAATTTGAACAGTCATTATTGGACTGTAGATTTCCTCAATAACCTGCGTAAGATCTTGTATGAATGATATAAAAAGAAATTCTTCAGTGAGTTATGTGGAACTGATGCTTTTTTGAGTATTCTATTCATAACATTTTTTGCTTACTTTTTTGGTCCAAATTAATTCACAACTTTCACTTTTCATCTAATAGTATTCCGTTCTAATTATTTGAACCATTCTAATCTTTCTTACTAAGCAATTCGTTCATGAAGGATACCTGGGTACATTTTGATAACCTCTTCTGTTATAATCTATCTTTTAGAATGTCTATATATAATTAAGGTTTTATGTGTACCGAAATATTTTTTAGATGTTTTCTATTTATACTCCTGACTAGCCAGAAGTTAATTTATTACTTCAATGTACTGAGTATTTCTATGTGTAAACAGAAACCGTTCCAACTGATGTTCTAGTTTAATATTGAGAATATTTTACCAGACTTATATCATTTTTAATAACGCATGTCATATAATTTATGTGGAAGAAACCTCTATTCATCATTTATCATGCAAGATTGACTAACTGCCAGTGTGAGTTTGATTGCTGGTTGGAAATGCCCCTTACAATAAAGGACTTGGGCGATCACAGGAATATGTTCTATTATTTTTACTTCGTTTAGTTTTTTAATGATTGCTTACATTTAGATCTATTGGTAAAGTGCTGAAATTTTATCTATTATAATTTTGTGACATTACCATTGTTTAAGAATATTATATGTTTCTACATTTGTGTACATGGAATCAGGTTACTAGCAAGAGTCCATTAGCGTATTCTTAGTTGTGTCTGTATGTTCAACTAGTGAATCAATATCTGAGACTAAGTTTGGTTTCTAAGTCTAGTTATCCTCTGACTGTTTACTTGTTTCGATATTTTTGAACACGTGCTAAACATTGCGTAAATTAGTTTGCGGTGCGTAATTGAATATGAACAGGTGAAACGTAATCAAATAGAAATATGACATCTGCTTACGAAGTATTTGCTTGGTTTTCAGAGATGTGTTAACAATCGTGGACCTTTATATTAGGAGCAAAAAAAGCTAACTTGTAATCAGAGATTTTTTTTATATGGCTCAAAGTCGTAGTCATGAAGACTTACTCGTTTCTTTCTGCTTCATATCTTGAGGTTTAGCCTCATTTCATGCTTACTCCTCGTTCTTATTCTTTTTCTAAATATTCATTTTCTGTGTTTTTTTGAAATGCCACTTAACGTACGATTTTTTAATCCCTTATTTTTCACTTTGTTTATTTATCGCCTCTGAATCAATGCGAATTGTGGCAATTTAGATGGATGCACATTTTGTATTAAATGTTGATCAGTTTATGACTGACTGACTGGCTGATTAGCTTAGGAAGTAAAAGTGAAGAAAATTTAACGAAACTCGATGTTTATTTTTTATTCTTGCTTTTTGTAAATTTTTACATAGGAAAGATTACATTTGTGGTAATCATGTTACATTATCAATAGTCGCTTACACTGATATACTTAATTTCTGTGCATTCTTTAAGTGTTACCTAAGTATCATTGTAATATGGTGATTTTTTTGAAGTCCTTAGATGGTATACAATGTCTTCTATCTTAGTAACTCACTTTACTGTTTACCCTTGGTACTTGAATCTAGTGTTGTCATCATTTTAACTGCATAACTATCATCCTGCAAATGTCTCTAAATCATCTATTTAGAAATTAGTAGTAATCTGACTTATTTAAGATCGTATGAATATATGCCTATAAACATATCGTATCACTATATTTCATGCTTGTTTTGACCACCATATAAGAATGACAGATTGCTTTTATCGACTATGAATAGAGATACTGTTGTCACAATATAATGTCAACAATATGTGCGTAAGAATGTTTTCACTAGCTTATAAAATATCTAGAACAAGCGCGTGATTTATATTGTTATATTTGTAGTAATTTGACATTATTACGTGCTTTAATCCAACTAAATTGTTTTATAGATTATAATTTATATTTAGCGACAGGTCATCAGTTGTTTTTCTAGTTGATATATTTTTATGTATGTGTAATTCTATTAGCATCAAAGTAGCAGAATATATCTAGTCGACTGACATAACCATTCGGAAATCACGTATCCTATATAGTGATATTGAGAGAATCTTATTCTAACCAAAATCATTGTTGAAGCATACAAAAATTAACCCTACCACAACGAACACGGTCTTGATGTAATCGATATTAATGAAAATAAAATTAAAATCAGACCATTATACATCAATTATTCTCAAGACATTCTAATCAAATGTATAGTTTGTAGAGGCACATAGTACGTAGTTATCAATTGGCAATTAACTGTTATATTATTGTTATCAGTGTTCAGAGGCTGGATGGAATATTTTACATACAAGATGATAAGTTTATTGAATCTGTTTAGTCCTGTTTCTGTCAATAAGTTTATATATAATTTTTGAAGCTTTCACTTGCATCCTCTATAGATATTTTTCATACGTGAGGTTGCTATTTGGATAAACTATTAACTTGGTGATTTTTCTGAAATATAGCTTACTGTTTGACAATTTTTATGTTATTCATTATCTATCGTATTTAGCTAACTTTATTAGGACTCATCAAGTCGTTCATTCTCTTGTCAGTTACTCAAGGTTTATTAGTATTTTAATTTTAGGGAATTTAAAATGATAAAAAGGATGTGAAACGAAATAAAACTTAAAGTAACATAATTAAATAGCTAACTGTGAAATAAGCGAAGTCAAGAGGCAATTAAATGGACAGAAAAATAAGATATTTAATGTATCGTGTTCTCAACAGAGAATTTATTTCTAAAGTCATAAATTAGTAAGCGGAATTTGTGGATAAGTTATGAATGCACACTCGTTTTTACTTAACTGCGCAATTAGAAGTAGATAAGTGTTAAGATATGAAAATATCAAGTGAATTATACGTTGCTTACCTGCTCTGAAAGTTCTATCAGGCTTTAAGATAAAACAGTTTGTGGTTGATTAATGATCAATGACTATTTTTAAAACCAGACTAGTCTTAAAAGGTATATTTTGTTCTCGAATTCCTGATTGTCGGTTCAGTAATGGACGTTTCGATTACTAAAAAGCATCTAACCCCTTTTTATTTTTTGGTATTGAGATTTAAGATCTAGTTTAGTGACAAACATAACATTTAGTTCTATAGGTTTCTGCTACCTACCTCTAAAATTTGAACCACTTTTCTATTATTAGTTATAGTTTTTATCAAATCATTTCTGTTATTGAATGTTACTTTTTGTCTTGAAATACTTTACTTGAACATTTTGTTCCCAACAATCCTACTCATGCTTGTACAGTTCATCTCAGTTAATTGATATGGTGAAGTCATGTGTAGTTAAGTTTATATTTATTTGGTCTAGTCTACCAAATATCTAGAGAGAAATATAAACTGACACGAGTGTTGGTAATTTTATTTTGTAAGTAACTTAGTTTCTAAAAAAATGTCAAGCTGGATTCTCATGAATCACAAAACAATGATTGATTTTTCCCACCTTCGTTCCATGATGAGTACTGATTTATATATCTGAGTTGGTTTTCTTATTACAGAAAACTTTTGTGAGATCTGACAGTTTACTGTGTATGATAACACGTAATTATCCAGATACAGTTATGAAAGTGTTATGCCTGAAACTAAATCGATTCCGCGGTAACGAACGAAAGCCAATGACACAATGACACGATAAGCTATTCTAATCTGTTGTCCCAGGCCCCGCTAACTAGATGAAGAAGTCCAAGGCAAGTAGGGGAATATATATGTATTCCGTAAGCAGCCGAGTACAAGCAATCAAATAAGGGAAAAAGTCAAGCGCATTTATACAGTAACAAATTGTCCTTGAGCACCATTAGTAAATAGCACACATAAAGAAACAAAGGACCAATAGCGGTTAAGATAGTTTACAGGTGGGAAATATGACGTGAAGGTAAAAAGAGCGCTTTTGGCGCGAAAACAGCTAAATTCAAATTTTCAAAATAAAACTACAAGATTAAGCCATTTACCAAGTAAGTTCTGGGGATTTGACATCCCCAACACCTCCCCTTTTTAAGAAATCCGAGCTCCTCCTCCCCCACGAAATAGTGTTGGATCCTCATATACCCAATTTTCTACTAATGCGATTCTATTTATAACATGTTTCTGGCATTCAATAGGGAACCTGCTAAGATTGACTGGATGGTGAGGATCGACATTTGATGTGAGGTCAGAATTTGATTCTGCAGAAATGTAGTCATTAGACTTATTGCAAACATCACTGGCAGGTTGTGGATCACTATGAAAAACAGTGTCCAGCAAAACTGCGCTAGGTTCCGGATTTGATGCATGTAACAAATTTCCTGGACAAGCTTGGGAATCTTTGGCATTAGATTCGGTAAAAATTTCTATTGCAGAATGCGATTCGCTCGGTGTGCTGCTCGATATGATGTCTGGCACTTCGTAGGTGATTGGTGCGACCACTTCATGAGCTTTTAACATAGCATCGTGTTGATGAGAGCTGAAAGCGTCATTGATAGGACCTGCTAATTCCAGGATAGTGGAGTTTGAATCCACTACCGGGCATGTTGCTGAAACGGATAGTGATGGACAACCGGGCATGTCTTGTGATACTGCAGTTTCGTCTAGGTTGCGGCTTGTTGAGGAATCATGGGGGCTGCGATCATTTGCTAGCTCTGTGTGCAATTCAGAGATTAATACATCCACTTCTGACGCATATGTGAAGCATTGATGATCCAGAAACTGTGTACGTAGTTTGACCATGAACTCCAAATGTCGGTCAAAGAGCAACTGTAAGCGGTCAGAAGGGAGAGTCATTTTTCACTTTTGTCCCCGTCGCCAATTGTTATGCCTGAAACTAAATCGATTCCGCGGTAACGAACGAAAGCCAATGACACAATGACACGATAAGCTATTCTAATCTGTTGTCCCAGGCCCCGCTAACTAGATGAAGAAGTCCAAGGCAAGTAGGGGAATATATATGTATTCCGTAAGCAGCCGAGTACAAGCAATCAAATAAGGGAAAAAGTCAAGCGCATTTATACAGTAACAAATTGTCCTTGAGCACCATTAGTAAATAGCACACATAAAGAAACAAAGGACCAATAGCGGTTAAGATAGTTTACAGGTGGGAAATATGACGTGAAGGTAAAAAGAGCGCTTTTGGCGCGAAAACAGCTAAATTCAAATTTTCAGAATAAAACTACAAGATTAAGCCATTTACCAAGTAAGTTCTGGGGATTTGACATCCCCAACAGAAAGATAGTTTTTTACCAACGTTAGTAGGTGTAGAAAATGCTCGTGATGACACGAATCTGTTTGATCCAGTATTTTTTAGGGTCTTAAGTATATACCAAGTACAGTTGTAATTCTAGTGCTGTATTTGTCTGATTTTAGTGTTTTTGGTTTATATTTGAAATATTTGTAGAATGTTTTGGGTTATACCGATAGAGAACTAATTGTTCTCCTTAAACTAGACACTACTTGGTCTTGGTTGCTAGAAAAAACTGCGCAAATAACATTAAGCTTATAAAAATGACAAAATTTTCGGAGAATGAAACCTAGCCATGAAAGTACAATCCACGAAGTAATTTTTATTTAGGATCTTATACTTTAGGTATTCTTGACCATGATTGACCGCACTAATGAAGATATATTAATTCTTTGTTTTTCCTTTGAAAGCAGTATAATTGTTTATTGTTTACTATTCCTTCCGCATCATTTTCATGTTTCTAGATTTCAATCACTGTCGGTAATATCATTTTTTCTTCCATACTTTTCTTTTTGTCGCTTTCTTCTTCTTATGCTGATGTCAATGGTGGGAACTTGAACTAAAGTAAACTTTTATAAAGTCTTACTTTATTTTTATTTTCCTCTGTCTAAATTTTTTTGAATGTACACTCTCCTCTGAATATGTTGTGTCGTAAAATATTGATGTTAGTTGTCTTTCAGTATATGTGTACTATGTGTTATGATGATTTTTAATATGCATGCAGTTATCTTACGGTTATTATTGTTGTATCTCACAGGTTGTGTCTGTTTGACAGTTTCATCAAATGGGAAAGTATCCGTCATTAATCTACCTCACGTTTCCGGAGAATGGTATTGGAAACTGCGTTTCTTTTATCCAGCCAGTAAAAGCGTGAGCATCTTTTTTTTAAAATGATACCATCAAAATCATTTAATTGTAAATGTAGATGGATGGAAATGTCGGTGAACTACTAAACTATACGTTTATTCCAAAGACAACCTCATCTAATGTATATACAAATGAAACCATAAAATCAGATAACCAACTTATAAGTATTAATTTGGTTATGTCCACAGAAGGTTCCAAACTAAAGAAATGTTCTTTGTTGTTAACAGTAGAACAGGATGAGGAATATTTTGCATGGACAAATATGACATTAATATATGAATTTGCTGAGCCTTTATCTACTTTATCACCATCTGAATTACCTATTTCCGAAGCTACAAGTATGTATTGAACACTTAAATTGAACATAAGGTTTACTTAATCCATTCCTTTATTTTCCACTAATATAGTTTCTACTTCATCTGATCAAAAATTTTTAACTCGTACTGATGAAGTGTATATATGTGATACAGAAATACCAATTAAATTTGGTCAAAATATTGAAATTCTCTTTAGTTCAATGACATTTCAAGCATTTAAAGCAGAAGAAACAATTAGACCAGATCGTAAGAATATCAATTATTCTTATTTATACTTCAATTAATTCTTTTCTAGGCTTACAAGAAGTTTGTCCACGTGATTTCAAGAGTAATATACCAATTGCAGCATTGACTGGTGTCTCATTACTTGTTGTAGTAATACTTATTATTTCAATATTTGGAATAAATGCTTATTTGGCTCATCGTAAACGAAAGCAACACTAAACGAATTATATTTTATTGATTGTATATGAGTAACTTATTTGAGTAAATATATAAACTTATCGTCTAGAGAATCCTTATAATCCTTCAATACTACTTAAATATTATTGAACTATTGTGCATGTTGTGTCTATAATTATGCTATAGAGTTTGACTATTGTTAATAAACTTATTGTATACAGTAATGTTTATTTGTGATTAACAATTTTAATTCTTTAATTACGTAATGATGATTTTTTAATTTTTTAAAAATACATTGATGGTACATGCACATGATCTTCAATGTTTATTGCATATTATATTTGTTGTAACAAAATTGTTCCCTTATTACTTACTTGGTTACTTACTGACTGACGCCTGTTACTCCCAATGGAGTATAGGCGGCTGCCAACCAAACATTCTTCAACTATTGAAAATAAAAAATTTTTTTTTTCTGGATTAATAATTTTATTATTTTATTTCTTCTTCAATTGTCAAGTTTTATATTTATATTCATATTGATTAATTATTACAATTGTTAGTATCTATGTGATTGTAAACTTGTAATATAGTTCAATGAATTGTATTACAGTAATACTGATAAAGATAATCATTCAATAAATATTTGATTCAAAAAAGAAAAAAAAACAACGTTGTATACTCTATTAAATGTTCAATGGTTATGCTTTGAATTGATATCAAAGAGTATTGTAGTACTTTGGCTCAAAATCGTTTGCAATGGCGTAGGTGTGTCCATTCTTTGTGTTCTCTTAAATTTTAATCTTATGAATTCTTCATGTCTCTATCTTTTTTCTCTTTCTAAATTTCACTCCTCGAATAACATCTTTAAGCCTTGATCCTTCGGATTACTGTTTATACTCTTACTACTTCTAACACTATGGGATTTGAACTGACAACTGCATGTCTGTGCTAATGTGGTATGGCAACTGGAACTGATGTACGTACGTAAGAAGTTCTACGTTTTGACTGACTGACAAATCAACATTTATAGACCTTTAAATTAATGCATGTAAATGTTATTGGTGTTTTTAAAAAAGATAATTTTGTTAGTGTTAGTATTCTTTTTTTTGTCACTTTTATTTATCAGTGATTGTAGACTATTTCATCGTTATTAACTTTCTTCTTTCTAACATAATGTTCATTAGAGCGTAATACTGCATAGATGACTTATTGACTAAAATAGTCCACTTTTACCTCTTTAACTCTCAAGTTCGAACCCCGCTTCATCTCTTTTCTTTAACTTAAACAATCGAGTAATGTCACAGGCTCTCATATTAATAGTATGGTTCAAAATGAATTACATATTCTTGGTAGAAGAATTATTTTTCAGTACATTAGTCTTATGGAGTGTAGGATTTTTTTGAAAGGCTATCTCTTTTCATTTCACTTGAATGTATTGCAGTTCGTGGACTCTCATTTAACGAAGAAGGCTCTGATACTCCATTCAATATTATCAAACAAAAAATATTTTCTTGAAAAATATCAGTGCTCTATAATGCCCTGGTAGGGCCGATAATGGGGAGAGTTCTCTCTCCCTCTCGAAATGTTCTCACATGGCCACGCGTAAATAGACTCTGCCAGAGAAGTCCAACTCACTGCCTTCTCGCTGCATTACTGTTGTTTACGAAATTGAGAGGACGAAAAACGAATGTCTGGCGCTTTAATCGGGTCTATCTAGGGGAGTTGGAAAACCCTGATTCCAAACTAATGATGCACATGGGCTCCAGTATACTGAGGGAACAAATGATGTATGATCCAATCGTTGGTCACCGGCTACGACGGGACTGCATCTCCTTACCATGCTTCACTGCCTTGTGGATCGGATCTTTAGTTGAAAGGCTTCGGGTGTGGCTTCCTAAGAAAACCACCTGCTTCAGTTTGGGCACCTGGACAGTATCACAGCCCTCACACAAATCAAATGAGATTTGTGTGGTGCACATATATCTGGTGCATCCTTGTACCAATATTTATATTTTTAAAATGATAATAATAATACAAAATTTGTCCACTATTAAGAATAATCATTCGATATTTGGTTTAGCCTATATAATGGTGACATTTCATATACCAACGTTTTTTTTTTAAGATATCTATAAAGATAATGCTAGAAACAATTAATGCTTCAATGTCAACTAGATGAGATTAATTTACAAAGGGGAACTTTGTTAAAAATTTATATATAAAGATTTTATTAAACTTTTGATCAAGTTACTGGTTATATGATATATATATATGCGATTTTAACAGAAAACAATTTGACAGATTATCATTCTCTGTCTACCTTGTATATGTCTTAGTGATAGATTAATGAAATGAAATCTGAGTTACTATGCAAATGTTTATTTTTTTTCAGGACTTAAAAAAAATCCACTGAAGGTTAAAAAATTTCAGTTTTTTCATTTTTATTATAAATTGAGTTAGTATAAAATTATTGGCATACTATGCATTTTGTTTTTTGTTACCTTGGATTTATTCAAAGATGGATAGTGTCTAGCAGTGGAATCCAGGACGCGCGTTTCGTCCTATTTGGGACTCGTCAGCTGGATGTACCTGCATCTCAGAGTTGATGTTCTTATCTAGGATTCTTGCTTGTGAATCAAGGCTATATCGAGGCAATACGCACAGTATGCACATATGCCAATTAGAGACTGACCAGTTGCAGTCTTAACACATCGATGGGAAGATTCAAACAAACAATAATAAGTGAATTTAAACTTTACCCCATCAATCAAGTGGCTATCAGGACTCAGTGGTCGAGTGGATAGCGCGATGGCGTTTGAAGCAAGGGTACTGGGTTCGAGTCCCAGAGTGAACATCAACTCTGAGATGCAGGTACATCCAACTGACGACTCCCAAATAGGACGAAAAGCCCGTCAAACTGGATTCCACTGCTAGCCACTTGCCATCTTTGCTTAAAATGGTTTCCATTTATTTTTTTTTATTATGGTTGTTTTGTTAATGATTGTTTAATAAGTTAATAACTTAAATAATAAAAGGTTTTGATGATAGTTCCATATTTATTTTGAACCATTTTAGGTAATCTTTAACGTCTATTGCTTTAGCCCTATTCTCTTCAAATGAAAAAAAATCAGCATCTTGAATTCATATATTCTTTAGCCAGGTCAAACATGGTTTTTTTGTTAAATCTTTATGTCACTTGATTAAAAATTAAGTTTGGACAAAAATTTTTCATATCTACATTTTGTGCTTCCAGGTTTTCCATGATGGTCTACCTTTAATTGACTCATAAACTTAACTATTGAACAGTTTTCTTTCTAGATAATAAAGTGAACTATGTATCAGTTAAGGTAATTCATTAACAGATCTGATTAGATTACGTTGTGGTGTGGTCTACTTATATCCATATAATTAGTATATGGTGTGGGTCAGACATAGAATGTATTTGGCAGAAAACCGATAAAGAAAGAACTGGAATGAAGCGCAATCGTTTGGAAAATGCATGAGCAATGGAATTAGAGAAGAAACAGTGAAGATTTAAACAATTGGTTGTTAATTTGCAAATTAACTGTTCATTGTTTGGTTATCAGAATTTACCAAGATAGTCTGTAATGTTGTGCTTAAATACATTCGATTGTCCCCAGTCGTGTTCTGTTCACTACAACGTAATTTCCAATTTGTTACAACTATAATATAAAATAAATAACTAGAGATACTCATAGTTATTTACGACTTAATGAGGTAAAGCTGAAGTTTTCAGATGTGAAAAATCAGTTGAATTTGTATGTTTCTAGTCATCCCCTGATATTATTTGCGTTACTATAAAAAAACAACAACATTCCAATCATCATCATATATTACGAACTAATTAGTGTTGGATATATGGAAAATCATATCTGACTCCAAAGTGTGAAGATGATCCACTCATCCTAAGATCTGAATGTTTTTAAGTTCGTTAGTATACACTATAGTAATCCATCTATCTAGGGATGCCTCATTTTCTTTACTTTTCTGGTAGATATCAATTTATAAGAAAAAGAAACTCATCTTTAAGCTAATTTTTAATCTACATATTCATACTTACTTTAACTGTATGTCTAAATCTTCAATGTAATAAATTGAACTTTATGTATTATAATATTTGATATTTTTGCATTATTTATGAGTTTCATCAAACATGGAGACTATTCAGAAAACGTTTGATATTAGATTGGAAAGGCGCTTTTAATCAAATTTACCAAAAGCTTTGAATTGCTTGCTCATAGAGTAATTAGCCTTTTAGTGCATAGACTTATTTCTTGAAACGAACAATTTCTTGTGATTTGATCATACTGAGTCACATAATCTAGTAGGCTATTCATAAAAAAGACTTGTTTCTACCATCATATTCTTTCTGAATACATGAACAATGATTGGTGTCATGTTAATAATGTTCAATGGTAATCAAAAGAAATCTTAATGGTAATGAATAAGCAAAAATATTGTTTAATCTTTTTTTATAAATAGTTTATTTTTTACTTACTCAGTTAAATCAACCCTTCAGTATCAACAAGAATTACAGAATAATCAGCGAAATACTATAAAAGACTCAAACTCTTTGAATTCAATTAATGTAACTGAATGTATTGAATTGAAAGATGCTAATTCAAAATTCATTAATCAACAAAATGGAATAAGGAATTCAAGTTCAAGAAATTCAAATTTACCACCATTAAATAGAATTACTGTTATCTCTCAAGATGATTTTCATCAATTATGTGCTCTTCTGGAGTTTCGTGGTTATTTTCTTATTACATATACAAATAATAGTTCAAAAGAGGTAAGATTTGTTTTTTTTTAATAGTTTAACTGAGATTTATTTAAAGTATAATTCCATGATCGTCTAGTTTCATCGTCTTTAAAGTTTCTGTTTTTCTGTACTTCTACGTTTATTCTGAAAATATGGCGCTTGTGATTCCACTTACGAATCATGAACATTAACTTAAAGTTTAAAGAAGGTATGTATGTGATATGTGGTAGTGAAGTGAAGATACGATTGGTCACTGAGCATGGATAAACAGACTCATAAGGAAATAAAACGAACTACAGTAGTTCTAATTCGATGGGAGAAAGACAACATTGAACTGACCTCACAAGAACAAAAAGCCTTAAAGGGATTAAAATTTAGAGAAGATATTGTCGTAGTTTCAAATGACAAAGTACTCACTACAGTAATTATGGACAAAGAAGAATGTATCAGGAAAGCCGAGGATTTACTTGATAATAAAAGCGTGTATAAATTAATGGACACAAATTCAATTAAAAGGTTAGATAATCAGATTTAAAGGACTTAAGCTTGTCAAAGGAGGATAAATATCAAGTCAAGATCAATGGAGAATCAAATCCAGTAGACCAGTACTCTCTCGATTCTACGGTATTCCGAAAATACACAGACCAAACATTTTACTATGTCCAACTGTATAATTCCCATACAACATACAATTTATGGAGAGAAATTTCAAGAGTATTGAAACATTTAGTGGATTTCATCCAATCACCCCATCAAGTCTACCTTACAGTTCTTGCACATGGTCAAGGAGATTCAAACCAACAACGACGAACTGATGATATCCTTTGATGTGATGGCCTTTTTCATCTCAATTGAACTAATATTAGGAAAGGAAACTCTAACCCTGCTCCTTACCAGCGACACATATCTTCCAAAGTACATGAAGCTTCAAAGTCAAAGTTTACTAGAACTCATCGATTTATGCTTAACAACATATTTTCAAATCAACAACAAAATCTATGGACAAACGAAAGGAACACCGATGAAATCACCAATATCAGGACTTATTGCAGAGTCAGCAATGCAGAGAATGAGAGCCTCTACATAACCAGTGATCAAACTAAAAATGTGGATTCTTTGTGTGGACGACACATCATCAGAAAGGATGAACTGTAAAACACTTACAATCTGATCTGAGCAACAGTCCAAGAATTCACAAAATGGAATACGTACACGAAATTTATTCAGGAGGGTGAGAATATGCTGCAGCACACCTGCAGTGTGGGAAAATGAAGAAAAATATCTAGTGAATATCTTTCAGAAGAACACCTACCCATTCGAACTCATCAAAAAAGTATCAGGTCAACTCATCCGTAGAAAAGAAGTCAAGTATAGAAATAACAAACGGATCATCCTACCATATGTACAAGATATGTTAGAAATTACTAGATAATTGAAGCCGTTTGGAATAGGTGTAGCATACAAACCAGCAAAATCTCTTCAATAAATTCTCTGTAAACCAAAGGGCAAAATGATAAAAGAAGAAAAACCTAACATCATCTATAAAATAAACTGTTACAACTGAGAAAAATAATATATTAGATTAAGTGGGCGTCCCCTTCATTTTCTCCTACACGTACATCGATTAACAGTCAAAAGTCATGACATATCTTCCCTCATGTCAATGCATTTGAGCAACTGTGGACACGTGTTTGACTGGGAAAATGTTGAGTTATTGGATAGAAGGAATACTAAAAGCGCCAGGGAATTTTTAGAAGCTTGACACTCAGGTGAATTAGCAGTCAACAAACACATTGGAATCGATCGAATCTATTAACCAATAAAAAAACATGGATAAATATAGTACTAAGAATCAAATCAAATAGAGATGCAATCAAAATAAAGTTAGACAATTATGTGTTAAGGGTCAACAGCAGCCAATCGACAGCGAGGTCGACAGGAAGAAATTCGAACACTTCACTTCTACCTAATGTTTGTGCTGACGATGTTGTTCAAAAGAATACTGAAAGCTGGTCAACCAAACTATCCAGCTCAGATAACGAAATTTACCTAACGCACAGCCTACGGACTATTAAATATGTGATTTCCTTTCCTCTCATTGATATATACTCCGGATTCATTGAGTGTCACTGCTTGTGATTTTGTGAAATAAATTATTATCTAGTGCTAATCTGGTCCTCTATTCTGGGTCATGAATCCTGGATCTAATATAACGTGACTTGTCTCACTACCGTATTAACGTATTATCGATGTACACTTGTGTTGGAGAGATCCAGAAAATTCTTCGAAAAAAGCAAAAAAGGCTCTGAAAACGCTGAGAAATATCTTATCCAATCAGATACCAATAGAAGTTTTGCCGGAAACATCTAGAGAGTGACAAGTCGCGTTTATAATTGGATGATTATCTATACTGCTACTATGTTTATTAGCGTTTCAAAAGTTTTTGGAAGCCTAAGGCCATCTAAAATACTATAAATACCTTAGATTTGATGTATCTAAACGAACTTTTGAGTAAAGCGTTCTTTTTATATTTTGCCCCTTTTCTCTCATGTTCAAGTTGTTGTGTAGATTAGCCTGGGGATGACTAGAGAGCTTAGGAAACCGAATCTAGAGTTCAATTAAAAGACTTATCAACCTAAGAGAGAAAAATATGTATTTCAAACTATCCGCTATGTAAACATGTAAACATTAACTTGACCTTTACAGAATATCAAGGTCTAGTATTATGCTTTTAGTCAACATTTCTTCTATGATTTCACAACCACATGATAATCCTTATGGTGATGATTACTGTTACGTTTGTCACTTTTTACGTCTGAAATATATTTATTTAACTTATACTTGATACTGAAACCCGCTGAATCCGATGGCGCTTAGTGGAAACCCAAAAACTACTAATATGGATTCATTTGATTTCAAAAATAAGTCAATATAGTTATTAAATACACCACTTTTTAGATGATTTATTTATAGTCAGATTAACAGTACTGATCTGAGCAGTATTTAATGTCAATTAATTAATAACTAACTGGGTGAACACATTTACAATATCACACAATGAAGTACATATCATTATCACATAACTAACTCTTTGAAACGTAATTACATGGCATAGACAATTATTCACAAATAATTTCATATTGCATTTACACTTCAATCCATAAAACCATTGCTCACAACGTCAGTTATATGGCTGAATAAATATTTTCACAGTAGAAATTACGCATTGTTCTAAGCTAGAGCACCATTGAGAAACCTGAAAGCACTGGACGGCCGTTCCGTCCTAGAATGGGACTCTTCAGCAGTTGGCATCCACGGTTTCGCACGCAGGACTCGAACCCGGGACAATTGGTTTCGCATGTGGATACCTGACCTCTAAACCACTGAGCCGGTATCCAATGGAGTCTCAAACTAGGACGAAACGGCCGTCCAGTGCTTCCAGATTTTCAATGGTAGTTTAGCTTAGATCGTCGCGTGAATTCTACTGTGGAAATACTACAATCTCCACAAATTCCGTATACTGGGAATAAATATTTAACAAAGAAATGTTTTCCCACCTTCCTCACTAACCCAATAGATTTCTCATTCTGTATTCTATAACTGGAGGAAATAAAGTTTGCTGCTCAATGATTTGTAGTAGTTAATTATCTAACAGAGGCAGTCAAGTCACCAGTATTATAATTATTCTCTGTTATCACTGTAAATACTTATTGGTTAAAATGAATGGTTTGATTTAATTAAACAAAATACCTCAATTAAAATATGCGAATTAAGAAATCATAAAAATATTAAGTTTTAGAAACTGCAAACTGTGAAATTCTCTTCTCTTTGGTAATTAAGCAAATATGATGCCTAGAAGTTGTGAATGGCAGAAAGAAATACTGAAAGAAATAAACTAGACTTTTAAAAAACTGTATTATAATGTAAATCAATAATTGTTTAGAGTTTCACCCAAATTATTAAAACCCAGAAGCACTGGACGGACGTTTCACCCTCATTAGTGCTCAACCCACCATCCCACGCTTGGGAATCGGACCCAGGATCTTTGCTCACATGCGCGAACGCTTAACTACTAGATCACTGAACCGGAATCCAACAGTGTATATGTCTGATTTCAAACAATAAACAACATTATGCTACCATGTTTCAATGTTGTCAGTGGGTAACTGCCTCATACCGGACATGGATTAGCTCCACTGGTCACACCACTAGAATTTCAGAAATTTTGTTTAAATTATAAAGAAACCACTGATTACTGCTATTAAAGCCAATTAACATGAAATATTAGATGACACATATTGTAATAAACTCAGCGATTGAAATTTATAAAGCTTTAAATCTTAGCCCAAAAGTTTTGTCTGAGATTCTCTGGAAAAGCGCTAAGTTCAGAATTACGTAAGTGAAGTAGGTTGAAATCCGATTCTTTACTAAACTCTTCTCCAATTATGTCCAACTGATCACTTTTAATGTAGAAAACCACAAATATGGTTAGGATATGAATTTTCTGGTTAATTCGAATTGTCTAGCTAAAGCAATTTACGGTGTCAAGCTTTGGCCACCAAACGATGAAAAACCACGCACCAAATTTAACTGTTATCCACCTTCGTGAAATTGATCACGCAACTTCACTTCAACAGAAAAATTGCATCAAAAATCACGTACTACTTGTTACACTTATAATGGATGTAAAAGGTTTCATATTGCCTTCCATGTATCTACTTTTGAGTGGAAAGTGGAGTTTGTTTATTTAAGTCGACATTATCTAACAACTGTAAAGTTGTTAGATAAATAGAAACAAGTGATTGATCGTAAGTTATGTCAGATTTAATAATTTTGAATAGTGAGAAATTGAGCCTGGATGTAGAGTCAAAGACGGACGATTTCACATATTCATAGTATATTTTGATTTAACTCAGTCACTCAGCTACAATGTAGGACGAAGCACATATATGCATCGGTCCAATTTGCCATACCTCATCAGCACAATAAGATGAACACTAAATTCATAGTAGTTAATTAAGTCATGGTAATATTTAAAAGAAAGGTTGTTTATAAGGATATAGTACAGGAAGAAAGATAGATATGAAACAATTTTCATCCGAAGGTTTAGAGGAAGATAATGAGTGTATACACCTGAGCCATTGTGGTCGATTTTCAGCCATATCACCTAGAGTCTCCAACCAGTGGTTACGATAGTCACGCGGACCCTAACCAAGTAGTCTGTATCTACCTACATCGCTCAGACTAGACGTTAGTGACTTCAAAATCTGATGCCACGTTTTGGTTTGGCCGCCCCTAACCCTTTTCCTACCATCCCCTACACTAGTGAGCATAGCGCGTCGTGTTAATCGGTGTTCAGATATACGTAACACATGGCCTAACAATCTCAGTCGACGAAGATTCACAAGCTCACAAACTGATTTACCATCATTCCCTAATACCCTATGTCTAACCTCACTATTACTTACCCAGTGTTCACAGCAGATGCGAGCAATATTTCTAAGGCATCTGTGGTTAAATACTAGTAACTTACGAGTATCTACTGCTAGTGGCCACGTTTCACAGCTGTAAAGTAGAATAGGGCGAACTACTGCACAGTATACTCGTCCATTAATTGATAGACGGATATCTCGTCTTCACCATAGGTGACGTAAGTTGGCAAAAATTGAACAAGCTTTCTGATTCCGTGCAGAGACTTCGTCAAACACTAACTCATTAGGGCTGATCTAAATTCATCTTACCAATTTATCAAAATTATTTCAAATTTAACAATAAGCATAGATAGAATATTTGAAAGCGTGAGTCATTTGAAGCTAGACCACTATGGAAAACCTGGAATCACTGGACGGCCGTTTCGACCTATTATGGGACCCCTCAGCAGTGCGCGTGCACGATCCTGCACTCGCTAGATTCGGATCTAGGACCTACCAGTCTCGAGCCAGAGCACTTAACCTCTAGACCACTGAGCTGGCATTCAACGAGGAGTCCCAGTGCTTCCAGGTTTTTCATGGTGGTCTAGATTCAATGGACTAACGCTTTCAACTATGAAATTACTAAATCTCCACAAAACCCCTTATGATAATAATAGATAGAATAGTTAAAGTAAACTATCATCTATATTTATGTTTTATATAAAAAAAAAATCAGTTTTCATTGACCTGACTTTTTTTTATAACTTAAACAACGGTAGTTAGTGATAATTATCATTAGTATTTCATAATTCTAATGTAAATTTTTTTTATTTGGCATTAATATACATTGTCTCTCTTTTTTTTTTATTTATGAAATATTGTTTTAGACAATTTGTTATCGGATTCCAATCGATTTAACTGAAAAATATTCTACAAAAGAAAATGAAATTTCTTCCATTTTAGAAAAATCTTATTTTTTCATGAATTTTAACAACAATACACATAGCAACAATTTATTGGATATTAACAAATCTAAATTATCATATATTGAACCAGATAATTTAATTATAATCACAACTAATTCATCATGTTGTAATAATTTTTTAAGATGTTTTACACTTCCATTTAATTTTAGTAGAAATGAAAATAGTTTAATAAAAAATTGGATAATTGATTTTTATTGGAATCGTACACCAGAAATGTATGAATTTGGTGAAGAAGGTTGGAGTAGTGTTGGTTCACCTGTTGGTGCATTATCAGGTGTTTATGATTTAGTTGATGTAAAACTCAAGTATCATTTTGATGAAAAATTTGGATTAGACTTTTTAATGAATGAAAATGGTATGTTTACAGATTACTTCATTTTTATTAAAATATTCTATTCCTTACAATGATGAGGTTACCGTTTTGTTTTGCTTAAACTCACCTAAAATAAAACAGTCATCAAATAAATGCCTTTTAGTTATGAGTGATTGGCAGTTATTGGAAGAGTCTTGAGGCTCGAATTCGTTTCCCTTGGTCCTCATTAGCAAATCACACCAAAGATCTTTTGCTCTCTTAATGGATCAAGCATACGTCAGATAGTACCCTGGTAACAAATGTCATGATCAGTCTGTTTGAAACACGTTACGATTCCTGTAAAACCTAAGTATCTACGTTAATCTGTCATTGATCGGCAACTGATACACCGATATCTGGTTTATAACTTCCATAGAATGGTACATTGAGAATCACAAAGTGGCTGATTGATAATTAACGATTATTGGAACTATTGTTGAATAGCGGTTAATATATTGTTTCTCTTAAATACATCTCATTTATTGGAAGAGCGCCAATTTCTTCAAACCAGAACCTTGATATTTTATGACGCTTAAATCTAAGGTAGTGACTATTTTCAATGTGAAAATAGCATAATACATATATTGTGAGCTTGAAAAATAAGATGGGAGTTTTTGCCATGAGAATGAGGATGTATTACAAAAATTTACGTTTTTATATCATTTTGCATTTGTTATGTATAAATTGTTTTATCAAATCGCCACCAAATGCCCTGGTACGGCCGAGAGTGGGGAGAGTCCGCTCTTCCTCTCGAAATGCTCTCACATGGCCACGCGTATATAGCCTCTGCCAGGGAAGTCCTACTCACTGCCTTCTCGTGGCATTACTGTTGTTTACGAAATTGTGAGGACAAAAGGCGAATATCCGGCGCTTTAATTGGGTTGGTGGACACGGAAAGTCCACCTGGGGGAGTTGGAAAACCCTGATTCCAAACCAATGGTGCACATGGACTCCAGTATCCTGATGGAACAAATGGTGTATTAATCAATCGTTGGTCACTGGCTACCATAGGACTGCATCTCTTCACGATGCTCAACTGCCTTGTGGATTAGGCCTTCAGGTCAAAGGCTCCGAGTATAATCCTCCCTAAGAAAACCACCTGCTTCAGTTTGGCACCCTGGCAGTATCATAGCCCTCACACAATTAAATGAAATGAAAATTGTGTGACGCATATATATCTAGTGCTCGTTTGTACCAATATTTATGTGTTCAAATAAATAAATAATTTATCAAGTCATCCTTAAAATGTATGTTTGAATACTGTATTTTCGTAAAATATTGGGAACAATGAGTATTGACTAGTTTTTGATTGCATAATCATCAATATTAATCAGGCAGGTAAAACAGTATTTATAGAAGGTGATAAATTCATTATATATATTTGTTATTGTCTTAGTTATTAAGTTTATTAGATTTTTGTGTAGGCCAAATAATTCTGATTTATCCATTGTCTATACACTAACTTAATTAATTAATTATTTAAATTTTGTATAAGATGATTGATTATTATATGCGCACTGTTGAGGAGTTCCACACTAGGACGAAACGGCCGTCTAGTACTTCTAGGTTTTCCATAATGGTCTTGCTTCAAGTGATTCATGATCTCAACTATTAAAAAAAATAAATGAGTTAAACAAAACATGAGACCCCGGGGAGTTAAACAATAACACCATCGGATGCCAACTCAGTGGTCTATCGGTTAAGTGCTCGCACGCGAGACTAATAGGTCCTGGGTTCGAGTCCCTCAGGCGGAATCGTGGATGCGCACTGATGAGGAGTCCCACAATAGAGCTAAACAGCCATCTAGTGCTTCCAGGTTTTCCATGGTGATCTAGCTTCAATTGATTCATGATCTCAACTATTAAAATTATTATATTTTTCTTTAAGCAGTTTCTGACTTTACATAGTAGCTGAATTTATTTGATAGGTGTTACCATGTGATCTCATATATATCTATATGTATAAAGTTTATTCTTATTCTGTATATTCTAAGATAGTAATAACTTATTAAATTTTTTTCATTCTGTATGCTTTTGTTGTTTGTTTTTTCACCTCTATGTGTATAAAAATACCGTTTTAACTTTATTTAAAGAAAGGTATTTTTTTTTAAGGAGAAATATTATTGACTGATGATAACGAAAATTTTTTTACTTTAGATCAAGGTATTAAATTAGTGTGTTTTAAGAGAAATAAAAAGAACTACTTGAAGATGCTATGAAGTAATTATTTATGTTGAAGTTAGACATTAACGCAGTTAGTTGCCAACCGGCTCAGTGGTTCTAAAGGTTAAGCGCTTGCATGCGAAATTGATAGATTCTGGGTTGAAATCTCTTGAGGTGGGATCGTGGATGTGCACTGTTGAGGAGTCCCACAATAGGATGAAATGGCCGTCTAGTACTTCCAGGTTTTCCATGGTGATCTAACTTCAATTGACTCATGATCTCAACTATTGAAATTATTGTAATATCCACAACAAACCCTTCTGATATTTATGCTTTGTCTTACCGTGTATTTAATTTTTGCAAATCTTTCCGAACCAAATAATTATCTTGTTACTCTGTGTTAGAATGGTGACTATCAGTATCTGATAGTCATTATACGTGATTGGGTACTAGAAATTATCGTAATACTTTGTTTGTACGGGCTATACTCCTCTTAGTTAAGTAGCCATGAGTACTGGATTTGACATTTATTCGGTGAGATAGCATAAATTCTAATTCAGTTTGGTCAGAAAGGACTGAGATTATCTCTCAGCCTTTCTTTTATTAAGGGATTGTAGTATTGACGAGTAAGGAAGTAACTGATAGAAGCAAATGAAAGGAGGAAATTTCATTCCAGTCATCCTTTGCTAAGATTAGGACTTAACAGCTAGACATTTTTATATGCATATTGTACTTCGAAATTACTTGAGGTAACTAACTCTTTGATATTCACTTGGTATTATTTGTTTGAATCTTCCCATTGATGCTTAGGACTACGACTGGTCAGTCTCCAATTGACATATGTACATAATGTGCGTTTTGCCTCGATATAGCCTTAATTCACAAGCATTGTAAGCAAAGATGAATAGTGGCTAGCAATGGAATCCAAAACGCGCGTTTCGCCCCATTTGGGACTCGTCAGCTGGATGTACCTGCATTTCATAGTTGATGTTCACTCTGGGACTCGAACCCAATACCTTTCGCTTCAAACGCCATCGCGTTATCCCCTCAGCTATTGAGTCCTGATAGCCACTTGCTTGTGCAATGGGGTGAAGTTTAAATTCACTTGGTATTGTTTGTTTGAATCTTCCCATTGATGTTTAGGACTGCGAGTGGTCTTTGACATTTATAAAGAAACCAATCCGACTTTAATGATTCTCTTCATTGAAAAAACTGAGTGTATTTTTCAGAGAAACATTGTATAAAATGCGTAAACCTTAGTTTTGAAAACAATATTATCGAACTACATTTTTCACATCAGCGGTTAGAAAATGAAGTTTGTTTATCATTTATAGATGGTCTAGGTGAATACTAGAATGTTTTGTCAAATGAAAAAAAGAATCATTTTTATGTAACCATATCATTAATTCTGACTATTTCAGACAAATCTTCGAATCAGAAAAATAGAATTATGTTGAATGAAATTCATTATATAAAAAGAACAACCAGAATTATTGAACAAAAAATATTCATTTTGTTTAAAGTGTATTCTTATAGCTGAAATCATGAGTCAATTGAAGCTAGACTACCATGGAAAACCTGGAAGCACTGAACGACCGTTTCGTCATATTGTGGGACTCCTCAACAGTGCGCATCCACGATCCCACCTCAAGAGATTCCAATCCGGGACCTATCTGTCTCGCTCGCGAGCACTTAAACTCTAGACTACTGAGTTGGCCGGCATCCAACTGTGTTAATGTCTAACTTCAACCAATCCATGAAACTGAGCAACCATTCACCATTGTCTTCAGTGAGTTACTATCTCACAACAGACCTGGTTGAACTCCACTGATCACTGCTTTCCACTAGAACTCCAGGAAATATCTCTTGAAGCCAGTCACTAGTGAACATATGATTATTATTAGAAGGGGGGGGGTTGTGAAGATTTTAATAATTTTATAATTTATATCATGAAACAGCCGTCTAGTGTTTCCACGTTTTCCTTGATGTTCTAGCTTCAATTGACTCATGATTTCAACTATAAACACTTACCAAAGTCTCCACAAAGCCCTCTCCTTCTGGAATAATATCTATTGAAAAAAACTAATACTGTGATGTGGTCTACTTATATCCATATAAGTAGTATATGGTGAGGGTCGGACATAGAATGTATTTTGGCAGAAGACTGAGAAGGAAATAACTGAAATGAAACGCAATTGATAGGAATATGCATGAACAATGAAATTAAAGAAAAATGGACTGATATTGATATAAGAAACAGTGAAGATTGAGATCATTGATTGATAGTTTGCAAATGAACTGTTTACTGATGTATGGTTATCAGAATTTAGTGAGATAGTCTGTAATTTTGTGCTTAAATACATTCGATTGTCCCCATTCGTGTTCTCATTCACTACAATACGAGTGAAACAAAATAATTAAAATTAACCAGTTTCTGATTAATAGTCCATCAATATATCAAAGCGTATATCATTTATTTATTCTATGATAATTATTGATAAATCATGCGAAAATGTAATGAACATTTCGTATAGAAATATAATGATAAAATTAAATGATTAAAACCACCACCACCACCACCACAACAACAACAAAAGTACTGATTATATTGAACAGTGGAAAATTGAAAAAAAGGGTAATGAAAAATTCCATGAATCCTTTATTATCTCTAAAGTTATTACACATTTTATCTTATCTGTCTCTGAACTCCACCGCCCATATTTTCATGTTTCCTTGATTCTAACACCTAATAACCTATGCCGCTGACCAGCATTCACCAACCCCCTCTGTCTTGGGCCTTCCTTTCTAGTTCTATTCAATTTTTGTTCATTCTTCTCATGTCTGCCTCCACTTCTCGGAATAATGAATTCTTTGATCTTCCTCTTTTCCTTTGGCCTTCAGAATTCCATGTGCGGGATTGTCTTGTAACGAAGTTGAGTGCTTTCCTCAATGTGTGTCCTATCCACTTTCAGTGATTCTTCCTGATTTCTTTCTCCACTGAAATCCGTTTTTGAACAAACACACTAATCCTCAAACCACAATGAGCTCTTATAGAACATTTAAATGACAAAACATTTGTTAGGACTTAGACGTTTAAAAAAAAATAAAAAACGGTGATTTTTTTACAACTCGCTTATGTATCTATATTTTGATAAATATTAATCCAAAAAAATAGGTAACAAATTCTTAAATTTCAAAGATTTAGATTTATTCCAAACTCATTGTGTCTTCCATCTTTCCTATGAACATTTGATCTATCAAGAGACATCAGTTCTATGGATCTACTATTCATTTCATAGTGTCATATCATAAACCAGCGTCGTTTGGTTCTTATAATTAGTTGGAGCATCATTAAATGATTATGAATATGAAAACTACAGAACAATCATATGTAAAACGACTTATAGGCATGTACAATTCGAACGGAATTACAGTATTTATGATTGTATAATAACCAAATCTTATACTTTCAGTCCCAGTCTCTGTAGTAGTTGAATTTCGTTGAAAATAAATTCATTCTCAATATTTCGTCACAGTTTAATTAATAATCAGCATCATGTTTATTTAATGCACAGTGTTGATCGATTTTAAATTAATCAAATTTAAATACAGGGATTTATACGATCCGTTTGACATTGAACTTATTGTTTCCACCAAGGAAACTAGAAGACATTTGTCCTAGATCGTAATAGTATAAACTTTCAGAACAAAAAAGTATATCAAATTGCTTTTTTTTGTTGTCTTCATTAAACATTCAAATTTATGCAAATATATTTGGTCTATCATATTTGATTAATGTGACTATCATGGAGATATGATAATTCACTCCTTTTCTATTGTTATCAAAATAAACAAGAACATTCATAATTTCGTCTTACATAACACCATCCTAGTTATGGATATTTTAATGAAGAGTGATTTAGGACTATTTCTTTCTTTTAAAAAAAAAAACAAACTATTTGTATCCAATAGAATGTTCTAGATATTTTTATATTTAAATTAAGAATTGATTGGACTATTTAGTTGATTTGTTCTTCTTTTTGGACTTTTGAATACAATCTACAATATGAATATAAAGCGAGGTATTGAATCTACGACTTTAAGCTATTGAACAAGCACTAAACCACTTAGTTACTAGATCAGGGAAAAAATAAATCACCATAACAAACTTTAGATAATTGGTTATGTCGCATGATTGTCATCAAGAATCGTGGGAGAATAAATTACTACCCACTGATTGGAAAATCCCATTGATCACAGTTTCCTATTAGAAAGTTTGGAAACCAATGAAAAAACCAAGTTAATCGTAAGCATAAAATTTCGTCGAAATCATAAATTTGGATGCTGACTTACTGATCTAGTCATCAAACGTTCATTCATGAGACTAAAGCTCCTGTGTTCGATTCCCAAGAGTGGAGTGGTGGGTGCATACTATTGCGAACTCCCATACTAGGACAAAATTTCCGTCCACTGCTTCCAGGTTTTCAATAGTGAGTCTAAGTTAGAATGATTCATAATTTAAATGAAATTCAATAATCTCTACAACCTCTTACTAAATGGCATCAAACTATTTCTGTGATAGGTAGTATATGAAAATTTGATGCTTTAGAAAGATGATTCTCATCATGTACTGAAATTTCGCGTGATAATGGCCTCTTTAGCATTTGGGCTCACATCCAGGCTAAACGTTTCACTATTCGAAATTCATAAATCTGACATAACTTACGATCAATCACTTGTTTCTATTTTACTACAACTTTACAGTTATTAGATAGTGTCAACTTAAATAAACAACCTCCACGTTTCAATCCAAAGTAGATACATGGAAGGCAATATGAAACTTTTCACGTCCATTATAAGTGTAACAAGTAGTACGTGATTTTTGATGCAATTTTTCTGTTGAAGTGAAGTTGCGTGATCAATTTGAGGAAAGTGGATAACAGTTAAACTTGGTGCGTGGTTTTTCATAGTTTGGTGGCCAAAGTTTGACATGTACATTATTTTAGTTAGACACGGTCGATTATTTAAGTAGTTGATATTTTATACGTTAGAAAGGTAACGATTTGGTTACTAGATAGCTATAGGCTGTGTATACTCAATATATCACTAGACAATTCGATATTTGGAGGGAAATGTACCGTATTCAAGTCCCAGTGTTAACATCGACACTGAAATATAAATATGTCCTGATTGGTTGATAACAAATCAGGAAAATTATGCAGAAACTTCTATCCAAAGTTTGTGACGATGATGTTGTTCAGAAGGACGATGAAAGCTTCGCGACTTAAACCATCCAGCTCAGAGAACAAAACTCTATCAAAATCATTCACCTGAGCTACAAATCTCCACAATGGATATGTTTAGATGACATGCTCTAAATAAAACGAAATGGTTATTCTTCATTTCACTTCAAGCTAATATTTAACCGTAGAAATTTTATTCTAGTAAATTGACAACATTCCTAACGTAAACATACCCTTACAATTACAACAGGATATCGATTTTAACTGATTGCACTACTGATCATATTTACAGCCTATTCAATATAATTGGAATTCATCTTGATATTATGAATGTTCTTTTATATTTAACAAGAGAATAAGAGAATTAAACATGCATTTTGTTGAAGAATGTTATAGGTACTTTTTGTTTGATGTATATTTTTTCTGTTGTGATTTCTTTTACTTACTGATTTGTAAACGTTCAATAATCTCTTATACTTGTACATTAATAAATGATGGACAGGTTTCTTTTTTCATTTTTTAATATCAGAAGGGTTTTTTTGGATATTATAGTAATTTTAATCGTTGAGATCATGAGTCAATTAAAGTTAGATCATCATGGAAAACCTGGAAGCACTAGACGGCCATTTCGTTCTAGTGTCGGACTCCTCAACAGTGTGCATCCACGATTCCGCCTCGCATGATTAGAACCTAGGACCTATCAGTCTCGCGTGCGAGCACTTAACCGATAGACCACTTAGCCGGCCGTCATTCAACGGTGTTAATGTCTGTCTTCAACCAATCCACGAAATATGAGCAACCATTAACCAATTGTCTTCAGTGAGTTGATATCTCTACAACAGACGTGGTTGAACTCCACTGGTTACTGCTTCTTACTAGAACTCCAGGAAATACCTCATGGAACCAGTCACTAGTGAGCATATGATAAGGGGGTTGTTTGTGGAGATTTTTAGTAATTTTAATATATAGTTGAAATCATGAGTCAATTAAAGTTAGACCTGGAAGCATTGGATGGTTGTTTCGTCCTGTTGTGGGATTCTTGAACAGTGCGCACTGCTAAAGAGTCCTACAACAGGACGAAACAACCGTCCAGTGTTTTCAGTTATTATTTGAAAATTCTTTCAATGTTGAAGATGATTAGCATAAATTTCTTTAGTTCTGTAAAAAAAGAAACTAACCAAAAATTTTGTTTGTTTTTTGAGATCTATTTATTTAAGTCAATAAAATAATCCTTTCATTATTATAGTGATGTGGTACTGTGTTAATGATTTTTTCTTTCTCTCCTAAAATAGAAAATTTTTATTATTTGTTATTGTGTTTATCAGTTGTTGACCAATCTATGATTAAATATAATTTGATTCATTTAAATTTTATTAGTTATAATAAGTTCTTAAAACAACATTAAATGTATTCCGATTTATCTAAATAAAGTTTATAATTAATTAACAGTATGATTATAAGCAAAGATGAATAGTGGCTAACAGTGAAATCCAATATGTGTGTTACGTTCTATTTGAAACTCGTCAGATAGATATACCTAGATCCCAGAGTTGCTGTTCACTCTGGAACTCGAACCTAATGCCATACATCACGTTATCCACTTAGCTACTGGGCCTATATTGCTTGTGCAATAAGGTGGTTTCATTCGTATATATATGTTACAGTACACTGTATGTTTGTGTTTCTTTAAATTGTTCTGTATATAGGAAGAGTTTAGAAATATTTTACTATAACTTCTTTAATTTTCGGATCCTATTTATTTTTACTTTTCCCTAGGTAATAAGGAATTTATTGTACATAGCTTAGCTGAAAAGCGTTTACAAGCTAGAGTTGGTGATTATTATGAATGTGTTTCACAGACTCAGTTTGTTTTTGATACAGAAAATAATACAATAGTTAATTCGAATGATAATTACATTATATCAAATGGCGACAAATGGAATATTATAATGAGTCTACAAAGTGTACGATCTCAAGCATTTGCTGACGTCAATGTACCAGAATTTACTGGAGCAAGTAAGTAGACTTTCTTATTCACATTCTGTTTATGTAAATATAACTAACAATACATCCTGCTGTCAGCATGAATTATATACAAAATAACATGATTTTATTTCATGAATACAACTTAGAAGCAAAGTGTTGTACAATTTATCGCACGTAAGTATTGAGATTATGCGTATTTTTAGATACTGACGCAAACAGCAGAGAAACATTTCAATTATATCAGGCTGGCTTCAGACCTGGTCGTGGCTGCATCGACCACATATTCACTATTCGTCAGGTTTTAAAACAAAAGCATGCTTATCGGCATCCGACAATGATAGTTTTTTCTTAACTTACAAGTAGCTGTGTCTGTCATTGAAAGGTGTACCTCAGAAGTACATAGACCTTGTGAAGTCTCTTTACTCGAACACTAGCAGTCGAGTGAAAGCTTACGGCGAACTGTCATCTGATTTTACAACCTCAAGTGTTGTCCAACAAGACTGTTCACTATCTCTTTTTGTGTTTAATTTCACCATAGATCTACTGCGGGAAATAAATTACTCGTCGACTGAATTTTTCGACATTGGTCTCCTACCAGGAGGTTCACTTATCGACTTAGAATGCGCAGGTGACATAGTTCTGTTTGGTGAAGACACTGATACAATGCAGTCTTTTGGTAGCACAGTGCAACAGTGCTTGGATGTTTGGGATGCGCTTCTCCCCCGGCCTGCAACAACACCTGAACTAAGGATAGGGAGTGGAGTAGTCGAATCCGTCGACAACTCCACTTATCTTGGAAGTCTGATCAGCCCTAATGGGTTGGTGTCTGACGAAATCTGTGCACGGATTCAAAAAGCTCATTGGGCTTTTGACAACTTACGTCACCTATGGCGAAGAGAGATATCCGTCTCTCAATTAAAAGATGAGTATACTGCACAGCAGTTCGTTCTGTTCTACTTTACGGCTGCGAAACGTGGCTATTAAGAGTAGAAGGTGCATATAAGTTACTAGTATTTGACCTCAGATGTCTTAAAAATATTGTTCGCATCTGCTGGGATCACCGGGTAAGTAATAGTGAGGTTATACACCAGGGTATTAAGGAATGATGGTAAATTGGTTGATGAGGTTTTGAATTTTCGTCGACTGAGATGGTTGGGTCATGTGTTACGTATGTCTGAACACCGATTAACACGACGTGCAAGGCTGACCATTATTGGCGATAGTTCGAAGACAGTTATGGGTGGTCAAACCAAAACATGGCATCAGAGCTTGAAGCCACTAACGTCTAGTCTGAGCGATGTAGGTAGATGCAGAGTACTTGGTTTGGGTCCGCGCGACTATCGTAACCAATGGTTGGAGACTGTAGGTGCCATGACTCAGAATCGATCACAATGGCGTAGGTGTATACACTCTTTATCTTCCCTTAAACCTTGAGATGAAAATTGCTTCATATCTGTCTTTCTTCCTGCATTATTTCCTTATACACAATCTGTCTTTTATATATTACTACCATTGAAGTAAATAATTCTATGAATTTGGTGTTCACCTTGTTGTGCTATTGAGGTATGGCAACTTGGACCGATGCATATATATGCCTGGTTCTACTTTGTAGCTGACTGACTTGTGTGTATATACATACCATAAGAACGCATAGAATGGGAATCTCATGAATACGCAATCGTCTAAGCATTCATCAAAACAGAAGGAGGGAATCTCACTGAACGTTATCTGTCGCTATACACCCATCAATAATAGCAGTGAAGACGATGAAGATCAGTTTTAAGAAAGGCTGTAGTCAATCGTAGTGAAGTGCACAAGATACGTAAGCACAAATGTCAGGATAGATAACACCGGATATGAAAATATCATGTGACGAAATGGACTGATAAGGAGAAACGAACGATAATTGCAAGAGATTTGCAAATTTACGTGCATTCAACAAATTGTTGGTAGGTGGAACTATATTTCCACACAAGCGCATGCACAAAGTCACATAGGTCTCACCTAACCACATCACTAAGAACCAGAATAATCATATTTGCATTGCTAGAAAATTCAGAAGGTCAATGGAAGACGTGAGAACCGACAGAGGAACTGACATTGCTTCAGATCATTACCTGGTTGTGACCTAAATGAAACCGAAGGTAAAGAAACACTGGACAGCTGTGGAAACAGAGTTATAAAGGCTCAATATAGCCTTCATTCGAGATACTGACAAACTCCACAAATTCAAGATAACTCTCAACAACAGGTTCCAAGCCTTACAAGATCTACTGAAAGAAGAAGGAACTACGATGTGGGCAAAAGGAATGGGATCAACGAAACATTGACTTTAACGTGTCAGGAGGTGCTAGACCGCGACATGCATCACCATAAGGAACAAATATCTATCGGAAACCTAAAGAAGATTGAAAAAAGGAAGGAGAAGAAGACAGTAGTTAACAACAGACGAACAAGAGGAGAGAAAATAAAGGCACAAGCTGAGTACACAGAAGCAAACAAGAGAACGAAAAGGGGCATCAAACCGACAAGCTGAAATGCATGCAAGACCTGTCAATGACAGCCGAAAAGGTTGCAAGAGAAGGAGATATGAAACAACTTTGTGATGCAACGAAAAACTGGCAGAAAAATATGGTAAACCAGAGAGATCGTTCAAGAAAAAAAGCAACTCAATCACTGAGTGACATCACACTGCTATCAGTGTAGTGAACAGAACACGAGTGGGAACAATCGAATGTATTTGAGTACGAAATTACAGAATATCTCACTGAAATCTGAAAACCATACAGTGAACAGTTATATTGTAAACTATCAGACAATTGTCTCAATCTTGACTGTTCCCTCTACAAATATCAGTACATCGTCTCTGATTTCATTGTACATGCATTTTCATACCAATTGCTTTCCGTTTCCGTTCTTTCCTTATTGATCATCTGTTGAAATACATTCTATGCCTGACCATCACCATATATTACTTATAAGGATATAAGTAACCCACACCACATTAGTACTGAGAGAAGTTACCGACAGAGTATTGCTGAACCTGATGAACTATTCAGTTGACGCCCTACTTAGAGATCAACAGACTGGATTCCGTAAGGATCAGTCGTGCATAGACCACATCGCAACACCACTGATCGTTATTGACCAATCAATTGAATGGAATTCATCACGACACATTAACTTCCTTGTCTATGAGAAAGCGTTTGACAGTGTCGATAGGATAACCTTATGGAAGTTACTTCGACACTATGGTGTAACTGAGAATATCGTCAACATTATCCGGAACTCATACAACGGAATACACTGTGAAGTGGTGCATGGAGGATAGCTGACAGATGCATTCCGAATGAGCACCAGAATCAGACAAGGCTGTTACTCTCTCCCTTTATCTTTCCTCTGGTGGTTGACTGGATAATGAATACCTCCAAATCTGAAGGGAAACACATAATACAATAAACAGGTTGGATACATCTTGATGATTCGTACTTCGCAGATGACCTATCTCTCCTATCCCATACACATCAACAAATACAGGTGAAGACAGCCAGTGTAACAACAACACCTGCAGCAATATGCCTCTATATACACAAGGGAAAAGCATGATCCTCAGATACAACGCAGAACACCGACCGAATCGCATTTGATGGAGGATCCCTGGAAGAGGTGGAAACGTTCACTTATCTGCACAGCATGATTGATAAACAAGGAGGCTCTGATGCAGATATGAAGGCATGGATTCGCAAAGCAAGGTCCACATTCATACAGTTGAAGAACATATGAGACTCAAAGCAACTATCAATCAACATCAAAGTCACAATCTTCAATACGAACATCAAGACAGTTTTATCGTAAGGAACTAAAACGCGGATATCTACTACAAGCATCGTCAACATTGTACAGGTATTTATCAGCAATAACTCGTTTGCTGGATGACTCAGGCAACAGCCTACTGTAGGAGAAAACAAGTTAACGTATGGCTGAAGAGGAAATTAAGAAAAAAACGCTGTATTTGCGTAGAACAGATTGCGGGAATCGTCAAACTGCATCACGAGGATCACGAAGGCGAAAGGAACAGAGAAAGATCAAAGAACATGTGGCGCAGGGAATTGGATGAAGAAAACAAAGCAATGAATAACAACTGGAAACAACTGAAAAGGAAGGATCAGGACATAGTTGGCTGAAGTATGCTTTTCGGCGGCCTATGCTGCACGAGGGGTAACAGGCCTAAGTAATCAAGCGTTTCACATAATGCTACCCTCAATAGGTAAGAAGACCTGGATATTCACCCAACCTGGAATATTTATCCAAATAACCACATTTGACCATATTTATTCTCCATCGAATTTACAAACACACAAAATGTCAACCCTAGCACTTTATATTACAAATACATACATTTTTTCGTACCCACCTTCTGACGCAAAAATTAATACAATGGTAGGTCATGCCAATTAATGTTGACTAAGGATAACTCAGAATCAATTAGATGATTTGGACTTCGCAGATGACCTAGCCCTCCTCTCTCATACACACGACCAAATGCAGATGAAGACAGCAAATGTAGCAGCAGCCTCCGCATCGATAGGCCTCCACATTCACAAAGGAAAAAGCAAGATTCTCAAATGCAACACGGAGAACACCAACCCAATCACACTTGACGGCGAAACTCTGGAAGAGGTGGAAACATTCAAGTACCTGGGGAGCATCGTTGATAAACAAGGAGGATCGGGTGCAGATGTAAAGGCAAGGATTGGCAAAGCAAGGGCAGCATTTCTACAATTGAAGAACATATGGAACTCAAAGCAACTCTCAACCAATTTCAAGGTCAGAATCTTTAATACGAACGTCAAGGCAGTCCTACTGTATGGAGCTGAAACGTGGAGAACTACTACATACATCGTCAGGAAGGTACAAGTATTTATAAACAATTGTCTACGCAAAATAATCAACATCCACTGGCCGGATACTATCAGCAACAGCGTTTTATGGGAGAGGATAAACCAGCTTCCAGGTGAAGAGGAATTTAG